ATATATACACACATATATATATATATATATATATATAAAATAAAAAAAATATATATATATAAATTGCTCAATCTTGCACAAATAGTTTTCTTTTCACCTCTATTTGAAAAGTAAATAAATCCTTGTTCTATAATACAAAGTTCTGAAATCTTCGCAGACATCGCGTCCCGTCATATGAGTGATATGACGAGCAGCTTCAAATCAAAAACTGAAAAGTTTGCGAGTGATATTCAATCGGATTTGAAGCAGGGCAAACCGATTTTGAAGCATCCTAACGATTCCAAAGTAACCGATAGTGACGAGCCAAGAACTTATAGAGAAGAATCGCGAGTCTCTGAACATGGTAATACCAATATTACCTTTCTTAATTTAAAAGACAGATTTGTGTGTGTTATAATTTCTGGTTGCAATTGTGTGATTTGTACATTAAACATATGTATATATCTATATATATGTTTAATATATACATATATACATACGAATCACGCAATTTTACACACGCACGTACGCACGCACACACACACACACACACACACACACACACACACATTTAGCACATAAATTTAAGATTTGAATGTAATCTCTGCATAGAATATATTATGCACATGAATAAGTTCATAAATAAATTACATTAGTATAACACAAGTATATAATGCTCATTGGCAAAAACAGGAACAAAACAAATTGATCCGGACACTGGACTCATATATTTCAAATACGACTTTGGCTATGAATTCGGTATCGTTTTACCTGGCGAGGGTAAAAGGACGGTTGAAAGCAACAAAAAGACCATTCAAGGACAGAGACGTTCCAGCGATATAGAAGTGCCTATAATCCATGAGTTTACTGAAAAGAAAGCGAATGGTTTTACAAAAAAAGGCACATTTTTAACCCGTCAAAGCAAGACAGGAAATAAATTCGGAAACTCAAAGACTGTCAAATGGGAGCCAACATCAGAGAGCGACTTTTCTGAAAGTGAAGACATGAAAAATTTGATTAGAAAACAATCAAATAAGGAAGGTATAAAAAGCTCAATTGCGCCTCCAAGTCTCGTCATACCTGGTTCTATGTCACCATCAAGATGGGATCACACAACACCCAGCCCGCTTTCTCTTAGTCCAAGTCTGCCAAGCCTTTCTCCAAAACAGAGTAACACTACTGGACCACCTAGCAATGTGGATTCTGCAGGTACATACCTGCCATCGAGAACGCGTGTTGATTTTATCAATTTTTTACAGCATCTTGCTTCGCTTTGATCGTTTTTGCATATTAGTGTAATATAATATTATTGTAATATAATGTTACTTATTAAATAATCTCTCTCGTTTTGAAAAGCTGTAGCTTCTTATAGTTTACATTCAAATTGCATTCTTGCTTCCTTCATACTCGGATTTTTCTCGAGATATCTCTAGCAAATTTACAGTATCACAACTTAGAAAATAAATTTAATTAATTTAAGGAAATAAGTGAGTAATAATGATTAGGTAAGGTGTAATGCACCTTTCTTAATATTGCTTAACATTGCTTTAAAAACTAAGTGCTTCTTTATACTTTTTGTGCTTGCTAACATATCAATCATTTATTTAGGTTTATTTAAGTTCTAACAATTTATCATTTACTGTTATGTTATTATACCAGATTGCGCTTAAATACTTTGTCTCGTCAATTTTGTTTTATTATATGTTATATACTATTTTAGTAATATCCTTCTATTAATTTCATAAAAAATCGTAGGTTCACCTTGGCCGACTAGCAATGGTGTGTCATCGAGTAAAGAAGTAATTCAGCCTTATATCGAAATATTACCGAAGAAAGCTCCTATATTCATTACGGTAATGCAGTTAAATTAATCATGTTAAAAATTTTTTCTTAACTTCAAAATAATTCTTAATCTTAAGAATCATGCTAAAAAAGAAATTTTGATCTATTACAGCCATTGAAAGATATTGCAGTGGTAAGCGGACAACCAGCTAGATTCGAATGTATCGTTCAAGCTGAACCGCAGCCCAATATTCTTTGGTCAAAAGATCGTAGAATCGTCGAAAATTCTGAGAGCCACGAAGTTCAATATAGAAACGGCGTTTGCCGTCTCACAATAATGAGAGCTTTACCCGGTACGATACAAGTAATACTTTATGCCCTTTTTTTTTGTCTGTAATCTTTCAATTATATTAATTTATTTTTGCATTTTTACAAAATTATTTTAATAAAATAATTATATTTAACACAAAAAATAATGAGCCAAAGACGAACAAATAAAATTAATGGATGTTCGATAATTTATTCATTCATACATATATCGCGATGAATGAATAAATTATCGAACATCCATTAATTTTATTTGCTCGTCTTTGGCCCATTATTTTTTGTGTTATTATTGTTTCGAGCCGAATTTTTTTATTTTGTTATTGTAATTATATTTAAATATTGAAGAAGATAATAATTCTGTCAGATAATTATGTACTTTCTTTCTGCAGAGGATGCTGGAATTTATGCATGTACGGCAACGAATAGCTTAGGTTCTACTGTAACTTCTGCCAACTTGGAGGTTCCAGGTAACAGACGATCTATGTATGCCCTTATTTCATAAAGATTTGCTGAGAGAGGGAATAAACAATTGAATGGAATAAATGAAAAGGTGGAGGAACATTTAATTCTTAATTTTGGTGTGCTATGGTATCGGAGATTTGCATTGTATCGTATTATTTGATTATTACTTTCCTAGGCTACAAACTAATATGATGAAGAAAATAATAATAATAATAATATATAATGCTCGATGTATTGTATTTTCTATGTGAGAAAAAATTTTTGCAAATTTTTGAACGATGGGAGATAAGTACTTCGATGACAAACTGCTTCTTCTATACAGCTTGCTTTTTGTTGGGAATAAACAACAATTTTTATCGCAATATAAAGAAATAAACATAGTGATGCTACTAATCATTCTAAAAGATCGAACAAAAGCGAATTAGCTTTGTCTTAATGAACATAATCATTTCTTGTTACATTTTATTCAAATATTCGATTTAACATTTTGGTAGAAACTAATTAAATCGAACTTTTTAATAATACCAAAGGAAATAAGAACGCAAAAATTGTCAATCTTTTTAAACAACATATAAAATATTTTAATTAGGTACCATTAAACAAATTAAGAAAACTTTTGTCTCTCTTATACACTTTATTCCATGTTTATATCTTATCTATTTTAAATATTGTGATTTTATTGAAATATTATATTTTTAATTTTTCTTTAAGCATAATAAAATTATTTCTTGCCAATATTGTTATTAAATTAGAATTACAAGATTTTGTCTCGTTGTCAGAATTAGCTTTGCCAAAGGTAATGATTAAAAATAAAAAATTTGATAAAATAGAAAATAAAAGTGATTTACTGTTTCAACCTCAACATTAATATCATTTTAAATGATTCTATTTATGTATCATGTGTATAACATTGTTGGAACTGTCATTGTTAGATTGTTTAAAAACATGATAAGAGAAAATTATTTGTATTATTAAACGTAAATAAATGCAATAAGAATATTCAATCGCTCTAAATAAAACTTTTAATTATTTAATAGTTCTTACAAGTTTTTATGTTAATTGTTTTTGCTTAAAACACGAGAAGTTAATATTTTATAGCTAGACGGAATATGGGATCTATTATGGGTATGTACGGGCATGTACGGCTATGAATCGCTATGCTATTAGCTCCTTGCGTCAATTATAGTTACAGAGAATAATTTACGTATTATTTAATTCAAAAAATACAGTCATAAAATCAGCATTTCTTGAATAATTTTATGAATGCTCAAGATTTTGTAAATTACGTAAATAATTATTATCTAATATTTAATAAATGGCAGAAGGCAATTTAGACAATTAAAAGTAAGATATTTTAATATGTTTTCTCATCGCAAGGAGTTAATTCTTATTTATTAATTTCGCTATCCATGAATTCACAATAATATTTATATATATTATGTAAATAAATGTATGCTTTCTCTATAATCTGAACTTGGGTAAATGGTTTAATAAATTATTTCCCATTCTTGCCTATATTCCATTTTCCTTTTTATTCTGCCTTTGTAATTACCTTTTTCTTGACGTATATAAGACATTGTAATGTATCAGCATTGATGGTGAACAGAAATATAAGGTAAGCCTTCGATTATTTATTAAGTAAACAGTGTTAGATTATCATATCAACATTATATTATTGTATGCTACTCTTCTGCAAATAATCTTTCACAAATAGCATAATTTTTTAATTTTAACATTTAATTTTAAATTAATTGCAATGCTTATTATAGAAATTGTGAAAAATTTGAGAAAAGTTTTTTATTTATTTTTCCTTTAAAGAAATACTCTTTTATATGTAGCATCATAATAGTTTAATATATAATTCTTTAATAATATATCTCTATACTTTTCGATTAAACTTAAACATTTTTTAAAAATTCTTAATTTTGTAATTTTCTTATAATTAATACTATATAATATATTAATATACTAATTGTAATTTTTATTATGTATAATATTTTTATATGACTTTATACACATACTTATATATAGTTAAAAAGAAAAATTATTTCTTATTAAAACTAAAACAAACTAGTGATTAAAATATTATCTTGCACATAAACGATAAAGTTTTGTCTTGTACTCTCGTAATATAGTTTCTAGATATTATAAAGCTCAACTTGTTTCTTACATGAAGAACAGAAATGATCTGATGAAAATAGATGTTAAAATAATCTTGTGGAATGTGGAGGAAAATGTGAGTCGGCAATCCAAAAATATACGGAAGAAAAACAAACGACTTTATTTGTGAAAAGAGTGTTAATCCGTTTTCTCCACAACTCATTATCAGTTAAATAATAAAAATTTGAGTTATAATGTTACATTTTTCAAACAGTATTGATATTTAATTATAGGCACATCATCAATATGCAGCACTCACTACAATCACAAGAAATGCATGCTTGAATGGTTTCCACAGGATCATTTCCCAAAATACGTAGCTTTAAAAGACCTATTCTTATCGCAAGACAAATGTGTTAAATCTACTTTGACAAATCGCAAGCAACTGTATGAGTCCTTTTATGATCTCGGATTAACTGCAAATTACAGGTAGTTGCATCAATCCATTTAATTCATTATAATTGACTAAGTTTCATTATCAAATTATATAACAGTTTCATAGAAGGAAATAATTGCGAAAACGTGGAAAGAGAATTTGATGCAATACAGATAACAAATTACATCGGGCATGAATTAAATACTATCTACACGAAAAATGGAACTAACATCGGTGGTTCATGTTTGGATATCAGACTCCCATTATATAGTCATGGAATGTACGAGAAAGACGGTGAGTACTTAAAATCTAAATCTACGGATCTATAATAAAATAATAACAATTTAATTTTATGTGTAAAATTATAAATATGATGCATACGTAATTGATATTCACGGATGAAAAAACTATCGGTTTTGCGAAAAAACAAACAAAGTATCGATTTAGATTATTCCAACTTGAAATAATTTTATATCGAGTTTATGCAATTTTTAGTTGTATCGTCTCTTCTTAATGGCAATTGCCTAAAGTAGAACATGATAATATATGGATGAAATATATAAGATCGTGATGCTCTTAGCAATATATACGTTTGTCTTTAGTATTTGAATTATAAAATCATTAAATGCAAAAGTTCTCTCGTCATCTCGGCCGAGATTATTTCACAGAATCTCAAAATAGACGCGTCGCTATGCGGCATGCATCTTGGACGAAACGCGATGATTCATGCGTGACCTACCTTCTTCATGATTATACCGATATTCTGGGCGCGAAAGTGCGAGATGAGACTTCCTTCCTTGCGTGAATTGTAACCATTAACATTTGCTTTTCATTGATACAATAATAAATACATAAAACGTATTTTATAAAAGATTGATGTAGATTAATTGCGGTGTAAAGTATACATTACGTTTCAAGATATGTATTGTTGTCGAAAGTATATTATAATAATAGTATACAAGTATCGCAATCAATGTGTCATTCTGATTCGTCAATGAAACATTAATGATTAGACAGAATCATTCTCATTGCTGATAAATAGAAAACTATAATTGTTTATAGTCTGTAACCGTGTGTATATAAAACAGCTACAAAATCTTTAAGGTTTAAAGAAGATTCTTTTAAAAGTCCACAAGTTTCCTGCACGATATTAAAAACGTCTCAAAAATAGAATTCAAGTCCTCACGAGAATATCTCCCACGTTGTTAATTTCATTGATGTGCTTGCACATGTTTTTAGAAATGTGCAGCGACATTAGTTCGAATATACAAGCGTACAGTGCGCAGGCGGTGCTCGCTCTCAGAGTCGCGATCAGGGGCTGCTCGTGTGGCTAAACTTGGCTGCAACGAGATTACGCACATACAATAGAATGTTTCCTACCACAAAATTCCATCAAGAAAAAAAAAATAAATGTATCAAATAGAGCGAGACAAAAATTAGGAAGAGATAGAGATAGAGAGAGAGAGAGAGAGAGAGAGAGAGAGAGAGAGAGGAAAATAATAAAAATGCGTAAATTCTGAAGCGCGCGCGCGCCCACACACACACACACACACACAACATGTATATCATAATAATAATAATAATAATAATAATAAGAATAAGAATATAAAGATTTGTACTATTTATTCGACAAAACGGTGGACGTAAAAAAATAAAGAGGCGCTAAGAAGAAAAAGAAAAGAGAATGCGTCTATCATGCGCATTCAAGCTTGAAAGTTTAGAATACTTAATTTTAGAGGGAAATAATGAAAGAGAGATACAGAGAGAGAGAGAGAGAGAGAGAGAGAGAGACATAATGTAAAGATGCGTGGGTAGCTGTCAGTGAGCGCAAGAATTAACGCTGCGTGAGATTTTACCATTGAGATTTTACCGCTTTAATCGTACGCGATAAGATATATACTCTAACCATCTATAAAATTTAGCAAGCAAATTTTTAATCTCCATATTTTATATTTTTCCAATATATGGCTTTTTTCTTAATTATAAATCAATGATTACCAGAAAAATAAAAAACGGCAAGTGCAGTAAATACAAAATCTTAATTAAATTAATAAATTTGTGAAATAAAAATTAACACAAAAAATATATGCCATGATATTTGGCGCACTTATCACTTTGTAATATATATTATATAATACATATTGAATATTGATACCTCTAATCTCCTCCTCCTCTTCATTCCTACAGATCATAAAATATAAAAATTGTTGAAATTTTTTTCAAATATGTTCAACTGACTCATACACCCTCATATTTCTCTTGTTCCTCTTAAGCAAGCAACTTCCGCACGCGTCAGGCGTCAGGGCGTTCAAATGTCCCCACTCTGACTATGCGACACCCTCTCCATCTTCTTATGCTTTAGCTAAGCGTTAAGTCGTAACCCGTCCAATTCGCATTCGACCGACGTCTTGGTTTAAAGAATCACGGGGACAAGACTTTTGACGATGACTTAATTTCTGCCGACTGTCTGAACTAAGCCGCGGTTACCAGCAAAACTGCGTGTATTGCGGAGTAAAGCGAGACAAGTGCGAGTGATTTGCTTCAATCGTTGTGCATCAAGAGTTTGTTTGTTAAATCTTGGGTGATAAAACACAGCATCGAGAAAAAAAGATAAAACGGAGATTTCTCTAGATTCTCCAGTTTAATTAGCAATTTACTACTATTACTATTAAGTCAAATAGTTGGTCACAATTTCTTGCCAACCGAACGACTTACAACTTTATTAAGTTTCTCGATCCAAGATGAAGCGACAACAATCTCAAGAACAAAAGCAACAACAACAGCAACAAGCTGTCATGCAAGAACAGCAACAATACATTCAGCAAAGGACGGAAAGACAAGTCACACGACAACAGATCACCAGTCAGCAGAGAGGTCAGTTGTGATGATTGAAAAACCAAGACAAGACAAGATTACTTTGATTCTTGGACAATAGTCTATCGAAAATATGAAGAATTTAAGCAAGAAGAGAACAGAAAATTTATATCGATTATACTCAAGATTTATTGCATATTAGAAAATTTATAAAATTACATTTTACAATGTAATTTCTAGATATTGCGAATGCTCGTAAAAAAAGATAGTCATCATTGCTATATACATATTTTCACGATATTTCTATTTCTTTTAATTTTTTTTATCAAAGAGTGAAAATATATTTAAACTAGTTTTAATATATTTCTTCTGATATCAACGTCAACGAATATTCGTATTCTATTTCTGTACAAGGAGCACCATCCGTGCGAGAGCTCTAAAGATAGTTCTCCACACTCTCGACATGATCGTTTCAAAAATTCTTTCACATGCTGTCGGAGGAATACCATCGCGTTATGCGTATTATATCAAGAAGAAACATACATTTAAAATAGTATTTATAATTTTCTTCTATTAACAATTTACTTTTCAAAATTTTAATTTCAACAAGTAAAAAATTGATCTGTTGTTTAAAAAAAAAAGACAATCAAAGCGATTTTATATTTAATTCAATATAGTGTATTATCACTGTTAATTTTATTATATACTCCACACATAATTTGCTTAATTGAAAACAAATATTACATATGCTTGCAACTTTATTTACAATAAAATAGAATCTATTATTATGTTATTTTGTCTTTGTTTATATTAGAGCTTTTTTTCTTAGAGATAAAAAATTTTTGCTTTTGTAATATATAAAAAAGTAAAACAACATATAATATAAAAGTTAGTTGGATATTATTTGATTAAAGTAATAAAATATAATTTAAGATAATATGCTAAATATTTATAAACGTGATATTGAGAAAACTTCACACTAGTTGTAAATTGTAAAAAATATTTATTATATCTTGTTTTTTTGTCTATTTAATTTATTACAGAGTTTATGCAAAATAGGCATGTATTAACATTCTAAAAACAAGAGAAATTATTTATTTTAATATTTAATTATTTACAAAATAAAAAAAACGTAAAATTTAAAAGTTTAAAATTTATATTTGTTTAATAATATTTTCTTCTTATTTGTTTTTTGTTATGATAATTAATACTATCACTTTTAGTTTTTCAAAAATAGAATATAAATAATTTCATAGAAAACTTCAATTTTGAAGATTCTTGTAGAAGTTTCAAAAACGTGCGTTATGCATGCGTGCATAATATATATTGTATTATGCATTCAATATTATATTTTGTAAATAAAATTTTATATATATAAAATAGTAGTTAGAATTATATATATATATATATATATATATATATATATATATATATTTCTGCTATCAAAAATAGTTTTACTAAAGTACGTTTGCCAACTGCGTTATACGTTAAAGAATTGAAAAATATATATGGACGTGTCAGAGTGTGCTATGGCTGCCAAATAATATAAACACTGACAGGTTTATGAATCTTACTTACATCGATGTGCATCGAAACGTGTTGGATTATATTTCAACGTGCGTAAAACTACAAGACAATGTATGTACAGTAAGCAACTCCGTCATGCTAGTGGCTAAAGCGTTAAACTACTATTTTTCATGTACACAAAGAAGGATTAAATCGAAAAATCTGATTAAAAATATGTATTTACGAGTAATAAAATATAATTGCTTAAAATTTTAATTACACAAAATATGTTGAATATATACATGTACATGTGTGCGCGCATACGCACATGCACACACACACACACACACACACACACACACACACACACACACGTGCGCGCGCTAAAATTAAATGTAGTAAAGAAAATTATACAATAATTTGTTTTTATAAATATATTTATTTTATTGTACAAATATGTAAAAATCGATTAATTGCTCTATAATATATGTTTATTATAAATTTGACGAAACGTAGATGTTTTAGAAATCTAAACAGCTGATCATAATACATGTCTTGGCATCACCAGTCAGTCGATCATCGATTAAAAAGAACGATGATGAGAGGATGGTAGAAAATAAGTGAAAATAGGAAAGACTAACGAAAGAAAAGACAAGATAATATTTTAAATTTAAAAATTCAATATGTGGATATAAAATGTACAAATCTTACGCAAAATCGTACGCAGATAGAAGAAGAGAAATGTTGGACCCGATTTTATTTTCGTCAGTGACTGCTTTTGCGTAACGGAAAACGCGATTGGTCCAGGCACGGCGGTAGACGCATCGCGTCGCGACTCGTCGCGGTGCGCAGCGCTGAGCAAAGATAGTTGCGCCTAAAATGGCTCACGGTAACGTGATCCCTATCCAAATGCAAAAATACAATCCCGTGCTTGTAGCAGTATATACGTCCTTCATCCCCTTCATGGCTCGCGAATCGTAAAAGCGAACGATGTTTAATCGCAATGTCACGTACAATGAGGAAAATGATTAATTTTTTATAATTAAATAATTAATCTACACAAACTTAATAAATTAATTGAATAATATGAATTGAGAAAATCTATTTATACATGTCAAGTTTCATATTCAAATGGAAAACGTGAACGTATTGTTTTATATAAAATGATCAATCAGTAATTAGCTATCCTTTTATGCACATAAACTGGATTTAATTATATTAAATCTTATTTCTGGAATGCAGATAATCTTTGAAATATTTGTAAACATTAAAAAAAATTTTATAAGAAATTAATTTTCTTATTTCTTTATGTTATAATGATTAAGTTCATTCTTTTACATGGCTTTCTGCCATCCGCAGAAGATATTTTCTAGCTACTGATTATCTTCTGAAATTTGCTCATTTATTAGTCAAGTAAAACTGTACATGATCATATTTAAATCACTATGCGTGTACATCTTTCTTCTTCGTATAACTTTTATCGTATTTTCCAATTAGGGTAGAACAAACCAAGGAAACACGAATCACAAGCTGTTTTATTTTTTCTGTCATCGTTACGCGCGATGATGGTGCCGCATTTTTTTAAATCAAATTATGTCTACATCGGGACATATCGTAATTTAAACCAATTTACTCGTTAGTCTGTGAGAACAGGCCATTGCAAAAATACATACAAGTTTATAATTCTGAATTTCAATTGCAGGGAAGGGGAATTGAATTTAAATAATGTAGATAGATAAAATAGATTAATTTTAATTATGTTTAATATTATTTACATTTTAATTATGTAGAAGTAAATTAACTTTCTTTTATTTCTGCAGTTCAAGGAGAGATCGTTATGCAAACGACGCCAACGGTACCAGTGTAAGTATTGCGACACTTATCAATTGTAGCTCTTTATTTGTAACTATAAGAGGACTATAGCTATCATTAACACAATTTTTAACACGATCTCATTAAATTATTGACAGCTTTACGGGTAAACCTGGGGATCCCTCGCCACCAATTTTCGAGCGAATCTTCAAAAATGCCAGATTTGCGCAGGGCGGTAATGCGATTTTTGAAGGCTGTGTTCGAGGTAATCCGAGACCATCAGTTTCTTGGACACACAAAGGAGTGCCGTTACTAGAATCACGAAAGATTCGAATGTCTTATAATGAAAATTCTGGAATTGTCATACTGCAAATTAATCAGATCGGTCCAGGGGACGAGGGCGAATACACGTGCAGTGCAAAGAATCAATATGGTAAGAGTTTCTTCTACAAGGGCAGTTTCCATTTAGAATACATTTTGAAACTTTTTGTTCTTCTGTTAGAATTAACGTTAAAACAAAATGGAAAAAGCTTATGTTTTCTTTACTTTTCAGGCGAAGCTATTTGCTCGGTTTATATACAGCCAGAAGGATTTGGTCCTCCAGCGCAGCAATTAACAGATACTTACAAGAAAGAATTTACGCAAAGCTTTCAGACGAGTGAACAAAAAATGCAAAGTGGAAGTCAACTTTTCCAACAACGTAGTCATCAACAAATGACAGATAAACGAAGTTACATTAATGGCACAAGTACAAGCATTGAAGATTTTAAGGTATATTAAAGTCAAATATTTAGTATTAGTTGTTTTAATAAAATAACGATATGCTTAAAGTAATATTCATTACTTTTCAAATGCGCAGGTGGACACCTTTGAATACAGATTGTTGCGTGAATTGGAATTCCGTGAATCAATTACTCGACGTTTTGCGGGTGAGTCCGACCTGCAAATTTCTACGACAGTTGATCGTACCTTGGGACCGGTCGCACCTCCGCAAATCACTCAGAAACCTAGAAATTCGAAACTCATTGAAGGATCGGACGCTGTCTTCACCGCAAAGATAACTGGCAATCCGAAACCAAGAGTAAGTTTCAAGTGCATTGAAAAAACTGAGATATCAAAAAATACATTCGACACATTTAATTCTTCAATGCAACGCAATGTTATACAATTATGTATATTATATTTCTAACTATAAATTTCTATATATTTCATCTGTCATTAACGAAACGATAATCGTTTATAAAATATGTAAAGTGTCCTTCAACTTAACATATGTTAAATTGTTGTAGTTAACATGGTTCAAAAATGGCCAGAGAATTCGAGATTCTCAGCGCGTGGAGACGAGCTACTTGAATCAGCAAGCTACTTTACGAATTCGAATCGCTCTGCCGGAAGACAGCGGTCATTATACATTATTGTCTGAGAATCCTCAAGGTTGCACTGTTAGTTCCGCTTATTTGGCAATTGAATCCAACGATCAAGTAGATCAAGTTCCGTATCAACCGCAAAGAGAATTTATTAAGACTCAACAAGTAGAATCGACCATTGAATCAACTGACTCTAGCAAGGTTCTGCCACCGAATTTTGTTCGTACCATCACAGATAAGGAAGCTACTGAAGGCAAAATGACGCGGTACGCTTCGCTCTTCTCCATCTTTAGTATCTTTCTATAGTTTTTCTTTCGCTCTTAAATACATATTATTTTCGATGAGTGCAGGTGTGTTTGTAATGTTAACATGAGAGACAATAACGACATTAGCAATAATATATTTCAGATTCGACTGTCGCGTAACTGGTCGTCCATATCCCGAAGTCATTTGGTACATTAATGGCCAACAAGTCGCCAATGACATGACTCATAAAATTCTTGTAAATGAATCTGGTAACAATTCGTTGATGATCACGAACGTGAATCGTGCCGACGCTGGCGTAGTAACGTGCATTGCTCGAAATAAAGCTGGCGAAACTTCTTGTCAGTGCAACTTGAGCGTTATTGAAAAAGAACAAGTAGTTGCGCCAAAATTTGTCGAACGTTTTATTACAACAAGCGTAAAAGAGGGAGAACCCGTGATCTTCATGGCACGCGCAGTCGGCACGCCCAATCCACGTATCACGTGGCAAAAGGTATTGTAATTTCTTCAAATTTTATCTACTATATAATTACGATTTCTTTGACATCGAAAACTTTTGCAGGATGGTGTACCGATAACACCTGGTCCTGAAGTACGTATATCGAGCGATGGTAGCGGAGCTTCGACTTTGGACATCCCATGCGCTAAATTTTCAGACGCAGCCTGGTACCAATGTACAGCTCAAAATGTAGCCGGCTCCACCGCAACTCGAGCACGACTTTTTGTAGAGACGCCAAAAGGAACGACCCCGGAACCAAGACGCCTGAATTTACCCCGACCAACGAAAGTCATCGAACCAGAGTGAGAGATTTTTCAAGTGTTTACTGACTTAGCAAATTAAATTAACATTAATCTTTGTGGCGACGTTGCCACGCTGCACAATTGCACACGGCGTACACGCACCATTAGTACGGCGGGCGCCTGTATAACGTAGTTATACCACCCGTCGTACGCTTTCTCGCGAGTATATGTACATACATACACACAAGAACAACTTTTTCGCGAGTGACTTTCAGCCGAATAACAATGTTGGTTATAAACATCCGCCAGGATGCTAACAAACGAGCTTTTTCCCGTATAATTAAAAAACGTTTGAGAATGTAATAAATAGGCCAATTTTTACATCCTCAAACGTTTTTCAATTACGAGGAAAAGTTCGTTTGTTAGTCTCCTGGCGATTGTTTATAACAAACATTGTTATTTGGCTGAAAGTCACTCGCAAGAAAGTCGTTTTTGTGTGTACTCGCGAGAAAGCACGCTGTACGACGGGTGGTCTACGTACAGGCGTCCGCCGTACTAATGGCACATGCACGCCGTGTGCAATTGTGCGGCGCGGCAGCGTCGCCGCACAATCTCTTTCCATGTTTTAATTTATATCCCCATTAAAGCGCAGATAAAATGTAAAGTCCCAGAGGCCCATATTATTCATGAAATCGACTTTTATTTTCTCGAACAAAAAGTGTATTGTGAGATACAGATAAATTGAGTAATAAATGTTTGCAGACCAGCGCCTGGCCCCGAAGTGATTTACCTGAGACATGTGGAACGCGCGAAGCCTTATTTGCCGCCCCCTGAAGAAGACAAAGTTTATCCTCCGCCACGTTTCATTATACCGCTAAAGGACGTTCATCAAATCGAAGGTGGACGAATTCACTTCGAGGCCAGAATCGAACCGGTGGGCGACCCCACTATGAGGGTGGAGTGGTATGTCAACGGCAGAGCACTCGATGCGAGTTAGTAAAATAAAACTTTTGTATCACGTTTTATTTTACGCGACCAAACTTTACCTGGTTAACCGAATTGCATTGGCGCATATATCTTTCACAGGTTCTCGGGCGACTTCCGTCTTTCGCTTTGGTTTTATTTCACTCGATCTCATTAGTATCGTTCTTCAAGATAGCGGCGAGTACTTGTGCCGCGTTGTAAGCTCGACCGGAATTGCCGAATCTCGAGCCACCCTCAGCGTAACCCGTGAGTAATGATGAAAAAGAACATTTTACAGATTTTTTTTCTCCAATCATATAAGTTCTCTTTTTCTCAGCACGTGCCACGATTGAACAAGCAAGCCAACACCCCGACAGCCTCCAATACATCCAACAGCTCGAGGATTACAGCAAGTATCAAAGACAAGAGAGCGTGGAGGAAACCTCTTCACAGCGGCCGGTTTTCATCCGCCCGCTCCAGGATCTTGGTGAGCTACAGGAAGGTCGTAATGCCCATTTCGAGGCGCAATTGACACCTGTTAGCGACCCTACTATGAAAGTGGAGTGGTACAAGGATGGAAAACCAATCACAGCCAGTGAGTATCGATATTTTCAAAAGAAGCGATTTTAATTAAAAAAAAAAAATTAATGTAAAAGACTATTAATTATTATTATTATTTACTAGGCTCAAGAATTACTAGCATCTTCAATTTCGGCTACGTCTCACTCAATGTAATGCACCTACGGGCTGAAGATGCAGGTTCTTATACTGTCAGAGCTGTGAACCGCTTAGGAGAGGCCATCAGCTCTGCGACTCTTCGTGTCTTTGGTGAGTCTTAGTTTCGTAACGGATGATTATTCTCAAATAACTTTTATCTCAATATTTTTCGAATATTGACGTGTTAATTATTGTGCAGCGCGAACAAGCGTAACAACAGATTTGGGTATTCCCGAACAACTGAGATACATAGAGGCTGCCGAGGAATTGGAAGCATATCAACAGGCGATGCACCAAAAATACGTGAAGGAGCAGCCTGAGCCAAGTAGCCCACCGGAATTTAAATCGCCTATTAAGGATCAGAGCGGCATACGAGAAGGCGGATTTGCCCATTTTGAGGCGCGCCTCGAACCAATTGGTGATGCCGATCTCCGTGTTGAGTGGCTGAAAGATGGACGACCTGTAGAAGCCAGTGAGTAATACATAATTCTCTTCACATAAATATATATCGTACATTTATATATATTCACGGAATGTATTCGGAATTAGGTTCTCGAATTACAACTTTCTTCAATTTCGGTTACGTGGCATTAACCATCAAATACGTAACGATACATGATGTTGGCGTGTATACTTGCCGAGCCTACAATAGAGCCGGTGAGGCTCACACTACTGCTCAATTGAGTGTAATTAGCAAGAATGATGTTATTTATGACAGCCAGCATCCTACTGGTCTTCAAAAAATTCAGTCTCTCGAAGATGCGAGTAGATATTCGCGACAAATTCAGGAAGAAACGCAGATTATACAAGCACCACGATTTTTGGGTAATCTTAAAGGTACCAATAAAATCGTAGAAGGTCAACGAGCGCATTTTGAGGCACGCGTCGAACCTCAAAGTGATCTGAGTATGAAGATCGAATGGTACCACAATGGCAAACCCATAACTGCTGCTAATAGAATTCAAACGTATCACGATTTCGGTTACGTTTCCATTGATATTCTTCAGGTTCGTTCTGAAGACACTGGCACATATACTGTTGTGGCCAAAAACTCTCGTGGAGAAGCTCGTTTATCTGCCACCATGACTGTAGAGAGTAAGATACATACAATTTTATTTATGCCGCAATGAAGCAATTTGCTAAGATAATAGACAATTAACGACAATTGTGTGTTGATTTTTATTTCAGCGCGTTCGAGCGTAGATACTAGCAGTATGCATCGCGGCACTTACGAGAAGACTCAACGTTTAGAAGAATCCAAGTTTGTTGAACCGCAGTATCATATCGAAGAGATCTCCAAATCAAAACCAATTTTTATCCAGCCATTGAGTGATCCTAAACCAGTTAGCGAGGGCAAAAATATTCACTTGGAGTGTCGTCTGGAACCAATGGGCGATCCAACAATGAGAGTTGAATGGTTCCAAAACGGACGTCCAGTCACAGTCGGTTCTAGATTCAGAACTTACTACGATTTCGGATTCGTCGCACTTGATATAGTACACGCTACTGTTTACGACTCTGGCGAATATACAGTCAGAGCTACTAATCATCTAGGTACCGCGCATACTTCTGCTTGCGTTAGAGTTATCGGAAGATCCGATATTGTCACTGAAACGCAAAATGAACAATCACTTGAGCATATACAAATGTTGGAAGACTCATCAAGGTATGCTTTTATTTATTGTAATTTTTATTGTAATTCATATCTTTTTACACACACACACACACAATTATTTGTCTTATTTATTATTTTGCTCGTGTATAGATATCGCAAAACTCAACAAGAGGAAGTCACTGTGATGCAAGCTCCTCAGTTCACTCGACCTCTGCATAATATTGAGACTGTAGAATTGACCAATGTTCATCTCGAATGTCGTCTTCAACCAATTGGTGATGTGACTATGAAAGTCGATTGGTTTGTTAATGGTCGACCGATCAAAACTGGCCATCGATTCAGACCATCTTATGAATTTGATTATGTGGCTCTAGACATTCTCGGTGTTTATCCAGAAGACTCTGGCGTATATACCTGTCAAGCTAGAAATCAGCTCGGCGAAGCAGTTACTTCATGCTCTGTAAGAGTACACGCTAAGAAGGATTTACTTCTAGAGTCTCAACATCCTGAGGGATTGGAAAGAATTCAGTACTTGGAGGATGCTTCACGATATAAAAGACATGAACTAGTGGATGAAGTCGTCAATGTAAAACCGAAATTTATTACAAAACCGAAAAACCAAGAAAATCTTCGGGAAGGACAACACGCCCATTTCGAGTGCAAACTGGAGCCTGTAACGGATCCGAATTTGAAAGTCGAATGGTTTAAAAATGGTCATCCAGTAACGATAGGTAATCTCTCATTAATTTCATTGCTATCCCTTCTGCAGCATTAGATTTATTTTCATACAACCACATATTAATTATCACTACATTTCTTCTTTTTTCAAATCTATTAAAAATGTCCGATTCATATTTGTCAATTTATATTTGATTTTGCAAATTAATTTGCAGGACATCGCTTCCGTCCAATTCATGATTTTGGTTACGTTGCATTGGACGTAATTGATTTGATTGCCGAGGATTCTGGAACGTATACCTGTCGTGCTGTTAATTTGGTAGGAAGTGACGAAGTACTCTGTACTTTAACATGTCGTTCGAGCGCACAAATATTAACGGACACGCAAAACGAGCTTGGACTTGAGCAGATTCACTATCTCGAGGATAAATCCAAATATTATAGACAAGAAGTTATTGAAGAAACTACCACTCAGGCGCCTATTTTTACAACTTCATTAAACAATGTCGAGATAAAAGAGGGTCAGCGAGCACATTTTGAATGCAGATTAATTCCAGTGTCTGACCCAACAATGAAAATTGAATGGTTCCATAATAATAAACCAGTAAAAGCAGGCTCGAGATTTGTCGAAACAAACAGCTTTGGCTTCGTCGCTCTCGATATTATGTACGCGTATCCAGAAGACTCTGGAACATACACTTGCAGAGCTAAAAATATTATTGGTGAAGCTATTACTTCTGCAACCGCTATCGTTCACTGTAAGCTGCTTTTTGTTACTTTAAATTCTTTAAAATTTGTTGGATAATTTCTTTTAAATATTAACAACATTAATTTACTATTTTTTTCTTTTTATTGATAGCTAAAAAGTCAATCTACACAGAGACTCAGAGCGAAGAAACTCTTCAACGTCTTCGTTCGTTAGAGGATACATCTCGTTATCAACGTAAACCTGCAACCGAGGAAATTATTACGCAAGCTCCTGTTTTTACAATGCCGATAAAAGATCTCCGTGTTGCTGAGAATCAGGCAGCACATTTCGAGGCACGCGTTATCCCAGTTGGAGATCCTAAACTCAAGGTGGAATGGCTACGTAACGGAGTTCCTATTTCAGCCTGTAAGCATTTTTATGTTATATTAAAAAACATGTCGTCTCATATTAAGATTCTTTTAAAAATATTCTTTGTTATTTTTAATTCTTCAAAAGCAAATCGTGTAACGACCATGCATGATTTTGGATATGTCGCTTTAAATATGAAGTACGTCAATCCCGAAGATTCTGGCACTTATACGTGTCGCGCTATAAACGAACTTGGAGAAGCAGCTACTTCAGCAACATTATTTGTTCAGTGTACGTATATTATTAATTTAACGCATAACGCACATCTCAGATATAGTTACTTACAAAGGTATTTACAAACTTTTATTACGTACTTTTCACACAATCTACAAATTAATTTTAAGAACAGAATCTTGTCAGTAACACTTATTTGTTTTTATAGATTTGGTAAACTAGCTTAATATTAATTAACATGCGCTTTAATTATATATAATTAAACTAAAAATGTTTGAAATCCTATATCTATTTGCTACGTAACTATCGGTTATTTTATACTTTTTATACTTTATTGGCTTGATGTATTATTTATTGTTAAACTTATTTGCTACTATTTACAAATAAGTATTGCACATCTACTCGATTTATTGTGAGTCTACTGAAAATTTTCGTTATTTTACGGAATACATCGTTCGATACATCGAATGTGATTTCCTTTGACGATTCTCGTATAACTACGTTATGTCAAAAATTCTTCTAAAATGCAGCTAAAGCAGCTTTGCAGTTCGAATCACAACATGAGGGCGCTTTGTCAAAGCTACAAGCTCTGGAGGATACTACAAAATATCAACGTCGTGAGGAGAAGGAGATTGTGATAAAGGACAAGCCATCCTTTACGGTTCAACTGAATGGACCTATCAGTCTAGTCGAAGGACAAAGCGCACATTATGAGTGTCGTATAGAACCTTACCCCGATCCCAATATGAAAGTGGAATGGTTTCATAATGGCAAACCATTATCCACTGGTCACAGATACAGAACTACTTGTGATTTTGGATTTGCATCGTTGGACGTATTGACTGTATATGCTGAAGATTCGGGCACGTATACTTGTCAAGCCACCAATAAATTGGGATCGGCGAAGAGCTCGATTAATCTTGACGTGAAGTGTGAGTAATATAATAGGGCATCTGCATGATAACGTAACTCAGATTTATCGATTTTATTATATGTGTGCGCGTATGTGTTAATCACTTGTTTCTTAAATTTTTATCTTTAATTTTAAATTTACATACATTATGTTTTATTTCTTCTCTTCCTTGTATTGATCTAACAATAAGTCTTTTCCCTTTTTTTTTATATCGCTTTACATTATTTGAATTCAAATAAAAATCTCTTTTTAGCTCGAGCATCAATTATTCATGACACGCAACATGAGAGCGCATTGAAAAAGATACAATATCTCGAAGATGACTCAAGATACAAACGAGTGATCGAAGAAGATACAATTATCGCCGAGAAGCCCACTTTTGGACGACCATTGAAGAATATTGAACACCTTCCAGAAGGCAAAAGCGCTCATCTCGAAGCTACATTGACTCCCGTAAATGATCCGACGATGAAGGTCGAATGGTTTAGAAATGGACGTCCTATTCCTCAAGGTCATAAATTTAAAACAACTTATGATTTTGGATATGTCGCTCTCGATATTCTTTATGCTTATCCTGAAGATTCGGGTACCTATATGTGCAAAGCAAGAAACGCTGTTGGCGAAGCAATCACTACTTGCGTAATCAGCGTGGATTGTAAGTGATATTTTACTCTACATATGTATATTATTTATATTCATAAATCACATTTATCATAGTAACCGTGTACCCGTTAAATAATGTTTTCTTTTTCGTGGACCTTCGAAACAAACGAAAGAATACGAGATAAAGCGAGATGATTTTTCATTACTTTGCAAATTTGCAAGTGTGAACGAAATTTTATACAACTTGTGATTTTACAATATTTCTGATAATAAAAGTATGGACATATGTGATTTATATTAATTATTTCATTTGAACAGCAAAACAAGGTTTATATCTCGATACGTTGGATGCACAACGTTTGCAAAAAATTCGAGAACTGGAAACTGTCGAAATCAAAGAAGAAGTTGAAAAGGAGGTTATTCACCAGAAACCTGTATTCTTGACCCCGTTGAACAATCTGGATCATCTCAAAGAAGGCGAGCACGCTCATTTGGAATGTCGTGTGGAGCCAATTAATGATCCGAACTTAAAAATCGAATGGTATGCTCAATACTCAATGCACATGAATAATATATATTATAGCATCTATATAATCAAAGAAATATTTATCTAGAACTTAAATGTTTAAAAAGTAGAATAAAATTGATACGACGATAAAATTATAACTTGCTACCGAATAAATAATTCTATCAATTGAATTCTATTTAATTTTCTCTTTAGGTTTGTCAATGGGATTGCTATTAAAACTGGTCATCGCTTTCGCACAACACATGATTTTGGCTATGTGGCTCTTGATATTCTTTACACTTATCCTGAAGATTCTGGTACTTACATGTGTAAAGCAACCAACCTGGCTGGCGAAGCAGTTAACACGTGCACTATTAAAGTGAGCTGTAAGTGTCCATAATAGTACTTATCATGCTGCATTCGGAATTTGGAGTATATTCGTGTATATGTTAGTTCTGTGCTAATGTTCTACATAATTGTCAGCAAAAAGCATACAATATCCAAAGTCTAATTTCCCGTCCGTGAAGAAATTGAAAAACATTCATCGACAACGATAAAATTGATCAAAAAGGAAAAGATTTGTCGAACGAATAACGACAATACTTTTATAAAGAAGATTTTCCTTAAAATCTGTAAAGTCTTGCAAGCTCAAACAAGTTTTTGTCTTGCAGACGATATAAAAATATTGGTTATACTTAAGAAAATCATTAACCATGTCACGCATAATAAGTTTTCAAGATATAATACATCGAGTCAGACGATAACTCTATACGGATCAAGATTGATTGTAAAATCGGATTTTTTTTATTTATTTAAAAAGCAAGCATAAAGTTAATAATAGAAATGCAGTTATCGAAAGAAAACAAAACAATTATGATATTTTTTTATCATAGCACGACGGAGCATTCTTTTGGATACTCAACATCCAGATGGTCTAGAAAAGATTCGAGAATTAGAGGCCCAGGGTCATCCTGCGCGATTAGAAATCGAGGAACCGCCAGTAACATCACCAAGATTTATCACTGAGCTTAGGGTAAATAATAATAATAATAATAATAATAATAATAATAATAATAATAATAATGATAATAATGATATATCAGTAATTATTATATAAATTATTGTAACAAATATATACATATAAAGGTTAACAAATATGTGATGCAAATGGAATGAATATAAAAACTTTTTTTAGGGCACAACTGAAGTATACGAGGGGCAAACAGCTCACTTCGAGTGCCAAGTAGAACCCCTGCATGATGCAAATCTCAGAATCGAATTCTTTCACAATGGTAAACCATTACCATCTGCAGCACGTTTTCATGTGACTTTTGATTTCGGATACGTGGCTTTGGACATTGGTCATGCCGTACCCGAAGATGCAGGACAATATTCTGTACGAGCGATTAACACGTTGGGACAATGCGTATCATCCATCGAACTTAAAGTAATCCCAAGAGATAACATCATTCTGGATTCTCAACGGCCCGAGGGAATGGACAAAATCCGGGAGCTCGAAGCCCAACAGCCATGGAAAAGACCTGAGATTCCAGAGCCTCAAACTCGACAGCGGCCAGTCTTTACTCAACCATTGCAAAATATCGATAGCATTGCCGAGGGTCACACTGCGCATTTCGAATGCAGACTCATACCTGTAGGTGATCCTATGCTTAAAGTGGAATGGTTCAGAAACGAAGTGCCACTTGAGACAAGTAAGAGAATCATTAGATACATAGATTCAATAAGATGCAAAATATTATGTAATATCGCAACTTTTCTTCAAAAGTGACACAATTCAAAAAGCGTGATTTAAGGGTTTTTTTTAAGGGTGAAACGAACAAGAATGAACAAAAAAATTATGTTTCTCGAGGCGCCCAGAGTCCAAGATTTCTTGGCCTCGCCCGGCCGAATAATTCTCGGTCGTTCAACGCGTTTCGCGGGACTTAGTCTGAAACGGGGCGCGCATCTCGCACCGTCCCGCCAAAGTGCACTCGACATTCTACATATATCTACCTGCATTATATCAGGGTGACCGATGCGTTACCGGGGATTAAGAAAGATTCTCTACCCCGTCGAAAATACTCGGCAATCGGCCGTCTCCCGCTCTCGATTACTCTCCCGCCGTACCTACATACGCCGTAAATCGACGTGGCGCCTGAATAACGTTACCGCGCGGGGTCGCGTGCTTGCCGGGAGCGTTGTCGCGCGCCGTGCGACAAGATGGCCGGGCGAGAGTATATCTGAAACGGCTGGATTCTCGCCCGGCCATCTTGTCGCACGGCGCGCGACAACGCTCCCGGCAAGCACGCTATCCCGCGCGGTAACGTTATTCAGGCGCCACGTCGATTTACCGACGCGAGGATACCCGCATCGCGAATTCTGAACAATTAAGTCAATTAAGTCGCGTAATTGACAGCGGAAATAGATATCAAAAGGATGGATATGATAAAATACTTGCGTAACGTGTACATAAATATTCTTTGTGCCGAGATTTTTATTTGATTAATATTAATAATAATTTAAGAGGCCGTAAACGAGTTATTTTCGTGGATACACTAATGAATATATTTTATTTATATCAAGATATACAGATATATCATATAAATGCGGTTTAAGTTTCGACTTGACTGCAGTCTTTATCGGCCGCTAAACGTTTGATACTTAATATATGATTACATAAAAAATTTGCAATAATAAATAAGTAAAATGCGAATATAATTCATGTCAACGCAGTCTGTCAGTAATTAATAATTGATATAAAACAATGAATAAAATGAAACGCAATATATCTAATATAACTCATATCGTCAGTAATTATTAATAATTGATGTAAAACAACAAAGTAATAAAATAAAATGCAATATAATATAACTCATATCGTCTGCAATTTCTAACAAAATGATGGAAAAGTCATAAACCCGAATGACGATCTGTAATTTATCCTCATTATCTTTAACACGTCCCTTTATTCGTCCCGCGTAATTAATCAAAAAGTGAATATGAGGAGGCCGATGATTAATCTGTGATAAAGCAGGAGGCAGTTTCAAAAATCGCTTTCACACCGTCATAACGATTGTATTAGAAGTCATCACTCTAATTAATACAGTCGTTATGACGGTGTGAAAGTGATTCTTGAAACTGCCTCCTGTTTTATCACACATTAATTATCGGCCTCCTCATATTCACTTTTTGATTAATTACGCGGGACGAATAAAGGGACGTGTTAAAGATAATGAGGATAAATTACAGATCGTCATTCGGGTTTATTCGGGACTTTTCCATCAATTTGTTATAGAGATTGATGATATGAGTTATATTATATTGCGTTTCATTTTATTCATTATTTTTATATTAATTATTAATTATTGACAAACTGCGTTGACATGAACTATATTCGCGTTTTACTTATTTATTATTTCGAGTTTTTTATGTAATCATGTATTAAGTATATACTTATTAACTGTTTAGCGGCTGATGAAGACTGCAGTCAAGTCAAAACTGGTACCGCATTTATAGATATATCTGTATAGCCGCATCTTGATATAAATTAAATATATTTATTAGTATACCCACGAAATTGTTTCTTTTACGATCTCTTAAATTATTATTAATATTTGTCTTTGTAATTACGAACAATATTTAGATTTTTTGACATTTTATTTGATCAGTTAATTATAATAATTAACAATTTTTTGTCAAGTTGAAAAATAGTTTTTTCTCTTTTCTGGGAAACTTAATTTCTTTTGTTGTGTTACTTTTAAAGCAAGGGTGTGATATAATATTACGACAATGTAATTCTCACTGAAACTAATTTTTACTACAATTTCCTCAGGTTCGCGAATCACAAAAGTGCATGATTTTGGCTATGTATCTTTGGATATTGCTCATGTGCGTGATGAAGATGAAGGCGTTTATATGTGCCGCGCGTCTAATCCGTTAGGCGAAGCTGTTACTACAGCTTCGATGAAGATTAAAAGTAAATAATTTTATTTATTTAATTTAAGCTTCTCAGTACGATATTTAATTTATTTAATAAAAATTACTCCACACGTACAGCTAAGGCGAGCATACAGTTAGATACTCAACATCCGGAGGCTCAACGTAGAATCGCTCAGCTAGAAGCCAAGGAAGCCGGACGACCCGAGGAACAGGAAAAGATTTTTGATAAACCGATTTTCACGCAGTTGCTAACTGGACCAACTGAACTTTGGGAAGGACAAATGGCTAGATACGAATGCAGAGTTGTTCCTGTCGGCGATGCTAGTTTAAGATTTGAATGGTATATAAACGGTGTCGAATTAAAAATGGGTAAGATAGCTTTCTTTAGCACGATAAATTTATATATTATTAGTATTGTGGACATTTGACATTAACAAAATCATTGTGCATTGATATTTAGGTTCACGCTTTCATGTGAGTCACGACTTTGGATATGTAACGTTAGACATTCTAAAAGTTATTCCCGAAGACTCTGGAGTTTATACTTGTAAAGCGATTAACAATGCAGGAGAGGCAATATCGTCGATTTCTCTGAAAGTAAAAGCGCGTTCAGCCATTGATTCTGACAGCATACAAAGGGACGCATGGCAGAAGATTCAATTGAAGGAAGCAGAAATGAATAAAGTGCCGGAAATGTTTGTTGACACAACACCGCAACAGGCACCAGTTTTTACCAAACATCTCGAAAGTTACGATAAATTGATAGAGGGTCAACGTGTCTATTTAGAAGCTCAGGTGGAACCACGAGCTGATCCCAATTTAAGAGTGGAATGGTTCAAGAACGGTATATCTCTTCAAACTGGAACGAGACTTCGTAGTACATTTGATTTCGGTCTAGTAACGTTGTCGATCAACGGGCTAAGACCCGACGATTCCGCAATTTATACCTGTAAAGCAACTAATCTTTTGGGAGAAGCTGTGTCAACCTGTAGTTTGAAAATTGCCGATCGTCACTGGTTGTTGGGAGACACCTTGCATCCTGACGCTCTGCCGAAAATCGATGTTTTGGAACAGCCTCATATAATTTCTACCGAGCAACCGGAACCTACTTACGAAGAACCAGTTTTCATCACTCATTTAAATAACGTGGAATGCATCGAAGGCGATAATGCTCACTTCGAATGCAATGTGGAACCATCGAAAGATCCGACTATGAAAATTGAATGGTTCTTGAACAATAAACCCTTGCCGACCGGTGCGAGATTTAAAAGCACTTATGATTTTGGCTACGTCGCTCTGGACTTGACTTACGCTTACGAAGAAGATTCTGGAGTGATTACCGTTAAAGCTACAAATTCAAAAGGAAGTGCACAGACATCTGGTACTTTGAAATGCACCAGCAAGCAAAATATTTATCTTCAAACGCAACATCCACAAGGAGAAGTCGGACTTGAGAAAGTGAAAGAAGCCGAAGATGCTTATCTATCGAAATATCGGAGACCGGAAGAAGCTCCTGAACATGAATATCCTAAACCGATATGGACAGTGCCTCTCGGCCCTGAGTTTAAATTGGGAGAATCTGAACCGTTACATCTAGAGGGACAAGTCGAGCCAAAGGATGATCCTAATTTAAAAATTGATTGGTACTTTAACGGGAAACCTTTAGAACATGGTTCGCGTTTCAAAATGACTAGCGATTTTGGATTTGTCACTTTGGACTTAACGGACGTTTATGAGCGTGACTCTGGTATTTACACTTGCAAAGCTTATAATAAAGCAGGCGAAGCCTTTACTTCAACGACGGTTTATTGCTCCACAAAGGAAAATATCATTGAAAAGTCGCAGCATCCCAAAGGCAAAGAAGGTCTCGAAGCGATCCAAGATCTGGAGGAATCTTTGAAACGGCAAGAAGGAGTTCCCTTAGGAGAGGAAGAAGGTCAACCACCAATATTTACATCGCAATTTGAAAATCTGACCAATCTCTCGGAAGGAGAGATTGCTCATTTTGAAGCATCTCTCATCCCTACTGGTGACCAAACTATGGTGGTTGAATGGTTCTACAATGGCAAATCTTTAGAAGCTAGCCACCGTACGAGAACCGTTTACGCTTTCGGCATGGTTGTCCTCGAAGTTCTTGGCACTAAAATAGAAGATTCAGGTACTTATACTTGTAGAGCTACCAACAAATGGGGTAAAGCAGAAATTAGCGTGCAACTAGAATGCGTCGACAAGTCCAAGGGACAAAAACCTAAATTCACGACGCAGATTCAATCCTTGGAAGGTTTAAAAGATGGTCAATCGGCTCACTTTGAGTGTACTCTAATTCCAGTGGGTGATCCGCATATGAAAGTCGAGTGGTTCCATAATGGAAAGCCTCTACGGCATTCATCACGTTTCAAGATGGTTTCTGATTTCGGCTTCGTAGTCTTGGATATTGCTGGTGTGATGTCTCATGACAGCGGGGAATACGTTTGCAAAGCTAGCAATAAATATGGCGAGGATTATACAAAAGCTACAATCAAATGTTTTGGCAAGAGCGGAGTTTACTTAGATTCTCTGCAGCCGGACTCGCTTGCTAGAATCCGAGAGCTCGAAAGTTATACCGGAGAGCAAGCAACTACACCTACGACTCCTGTTGCTGAACCACCGAAATTTATTACGCAGATCGCCGACGTAACGAAACTAGTAGAAGGTCAGTCCGCACACTTCGAGGCCAGATTGACTCCAGTGAATGATCCCGACTTGAAAGTCGAGTGGTATTACAATGGCAAGAAACTTCCTCACGGTCATCGATATCGCACCTTCCATGATTTTGGTATCGTTATCCTAGATATACTCTACTGTTACGAAGAGAACTCTGGGATTTACGAATGCAGAGCCGTTAACAAATATGGCGAAGATTCTACAAGAGCAACGCTCAAATGCTTCTCCAAAGCTAATCTCGTTTTGGAATCGCAACTTCCGAAGGGCATGGAAGGCGGTCTAGAAAAAATTCAGAATCTCGAAGATTCGATGATACGTACGAAGGACGAAAAAATTGTGGAAGAACGTGGCAAGGCACCTATGTTCACTGTACCTTTGAGTAATATCGATGGTTTACGAGAGGGAGAAAGCGCGCATTTCGAAGCACGAGTAATTCCTACGGACGATCCAAAATTAAAGGTAAATTAAATTTCATTAAATTTCGTTAAAGTCTATACGTACCTGTATATATTATACATGTAGATACGTAGATGTATACATTATATATTGTTCTGTTTGGTAGGTCGAATGGTTTTGGAATGGTAAACCATTGCGAACGGGATCTCGCTTCCGCACTTTTTGCGATTTTGGTTTCGTCATTTTGGAAATTTCTCCTATCTACCCTGAAGACTCCGGCGAATATAGTTGTAGAGCGACAAATGACTACGGAGAGGCAGTGACAACGTGCACGATGAAGTGTACGGGTAAACGTAGTATTATTTTGGAATCTCAGTTACCTAAAGGTATGGAAAGCACGATTGATAAGATTGCCGAGCTGGAAGGTCTTGGAGCTGTTCCGGGTCAGATCAGTCCCGAGGATGATACTGGTAGACCACCAGAATTTATCACGACTCCTTCTGATTTAACTTTGGCTGAGAATTCTCTTGCTCATTTTGAATGCCGGCTACAGCCAATTAACGATTCCAGCATGAGAGTCGAATGGTTCCACAACGGCAAGCCTCTTCTCGCTGGTAGTAGAATCAAGACAATTCACGATTTTGGTTTCGTCATTTTAGAAGTTGCGAATTGCTATCAACGCGATTCCGGTTTATATACCTGTAAAGCCACCAATCGTCATGGCGAAGCTACAGTATCGTGTAAGCTTCAAGTTCGTGGACGTCAAGGTATCATCCTGGAGCCTCAATTACCGAGTAATTTTAAAACCGGTACAGAAAGTATTCAGAAATTGGAAGAGTCTCTATACAAGAAAGATGAGATCTTGGCGGAGGAAGAAACGCCGAATCCACCGAGATTCATTGTCGAACTTAAAGATATTGAAGTCGAAGAAGCTGGATCGAGTCATTTCGATTGCAGAGTCGAGCCTGTGGGTGATCCTACTATGCGTATCGATTGGTTCCACAACGGACGGCCTTTCGCGACAGGCTCTCGAGTTCATCAAATTAATGATTTTGGCTTTATATCATTGGATATGTCGTACACATATGCTCGAGATAGCGGTGAATATATTTGCAGAGCTACCAACAAGTGGGGTACTGCTACTACCAAGGCCACCATTACTTGCAAATGTAAGTTGTATATGCAATATGTAGGTATATTAATATATTTCGAGCTTAAAATTATATAAATATATAACAGACACTTTTACATATTTGCTAATATAATCTAAAACAAAATAATTTTCCATTTCTCTCTCTTTCTCTCATAGCTAAGAAAACAATAGATTTTGATTCTCAATTACCAATGGGAATGAGCGGTGAGAAGTTAAAAGAATTGGAACGAGGACCGGTCTCTCAAGCTCCTGTGGAAGAAGCAGCGCGACAACCGCCTCATTTCATCACACAAATCCAATCGACAACTGTCGATGAGGGTGAACCAGTTAGATTCGAATGCCGTGTAGAGCCCAAAGAAGATCCGAATTTACGAATCGAATGGTACAGAAATGATAAATTGATACCTGCAGGGCACAGATATAGAACAGTTTACGATATGGGATTCGTATCGATGGACATCTTATATGTTTATCCCGAGGATTCTGGTGAATATGTTTGCAAAGCCATCAACGATCTTGGAGAAGATACCACTCGAGCTGCTGTATCTTGCAAGAGTATGTTGTAAAATCTTTTACCAACTTTTAATTTTCAAACCAAATTAACTGTATCGAAGCGGATTCATCAAATAAATGTTTCTTTTTCACAGAATTACCGAGCATCATTCTGCAAAATCAAGTACCAAAAGGTATGAAAAAATCCGAGGCCTTGATGCAGATGGAAGCGACAATTAAAAAGTATACTTCGGAAATTCATTTAACTGAAGACGATCTATATGACGCTGATAAGAAACAGCCGCCTCGTTTTGTCACGCAGATTCAAGATCACACCGATCTTGTTGAAATGAATAGTACCAAGTTCGAATGCCAATTGGCACCCGTGGGTGATCCAAATATGAAGGTGGAATGGTTCTTCAACGGGAAACCATTACCTCATAAGAATCGCTTTACGCCTATTTACGATTTTGGCTATGTAGCGATGAACTTTGGTTGGGTTTATCCAGAAGACAGTGGCGAATATCTATGCAGAGCTACGAATCTTTATGGAATGGACGAGACCAAGGCTATAATTAAAACTGCGGGAAAACCAGGAATTATCTACGAGTCTCAACTTCCAAAAGGCATGAAAAGCATAGAGAAGATCAGAGAAATGGAAGCAGCATGGCAAATGTAAAATATTATTTTATGCTTCATATTTGTGTACAAAAAAAAAATTAATTTCTTCAAATGATAAAACTAATAAGATGAATAGCATTTATTTCTATTTTATGTACTTATATCTTGAGATATTGTTTGCAAGAAAAAAGATTTTCCAAAAAAGAAAGGTCATTTTCCAATTGATAGATTTTTTCTTTCTCTTCGTCCAACATTGTAAAAATGACATATGCAGGTGGTCATGATGTAATGTTATTTAAAGAATTATTCGCACTTTGTTAGCGTGCCAGAAGAGGAAGATGAAAAGGAGAAAGTACGCTCAGCACCTATCTTCGTGAGTAAACCAGAACCGGTAACCGTCGAAGAAGGCGACTGGTCTAGATTCTGTTGTCGAGTCACTGGACATCCAAGGCCTCGAGTTATGTGGATAATAAATGGACATACAGTAGTTAATGTAAGTTTCGAAATATTAGCACTTGTAATACATATAATTATATATTAAATATGCCAATATACTTTTCGCGAAATTATATTTATAATGTGATTATATTAAATTTTCCTTTTCCTCGCAGGGATCTCGCTATAAACTAACATACGACGGCATGTATCATTTGGATATACCAAAGACCAGACAATACGATCATGGTAAGGTGGAAGTGATTGCAAGGAGCTCCGTTGGCGAAGCACGTACGGAAACGAGTTTAACGGTCAAGCAACGAAGCGACGATTATCGTGGTGTATTGAAAAATTCACCAAGACGTAAGTTTTCACTCCGACTCCGAACCATACATATATACGGCTGTGTGAATTCTTCGTATCTCACAATGAAATAAATTATACTTTTATAAAGCAATGAGATTGTATATATTATGTAGAACAGATATGAATATATAAAAAGTGTAAAATTAATTAATTAATAACATTCTTGAAAAGTACTACGAAGGATTCATAGCATACATCACGCAGTCAATGTAAAAATTTGAACGGATTACAAGAATACACACATACACATACATATATATATATATATATATATATATATATATATATTTATATATATATATAACATGTGAAAATGAAAAAAGTAGTTGTAAACCTCCAATAACGATTCGCGAGAAGCGAGCGTAGATTGGATAGAATCGAGCAACCGGAACACAGTACATATAATATATACGTATATCGATACGACACGTGCATTCTATTCGAATACAGAGAACACTCCAAATCATTCGAACATAAATAATCCCTTCTTTCCTGCTCTCCACATTTTGCACTCCAAAACCACGAAAATCATATCAAATCCGACAGCTTCTTTTGCTTCTCCTTCTTCTTCGTCATGGTTGGAAATATCGATGGAAATATTAGAGCGTCTTATATCAAAGGTATCGTATCTCTCGCATCAATATTCAGGTATGAGAAATAATGTATAATCGTCGGAAGAGCGTTAATATTGTTTTATATTTTATTAATTATGTTTTTTTTCTTATAAATATATAATCATATATTGTTGCGCTCGAGGGCACGGGCTTATTGCTCATTATTTTAAGTTATTTAATCTCAATTTATTTCACAATTTATCTCACATTTAGACTTATTCCTTAATCTATATTTAAGATATTTATTTAATATTTGTTTATATTCATTATAAGCATTATAAGAATTATGCTGCTTTCTTACTGTTAAAGTAATTTACATCAGGTATTATTTGTAGAAAGTGCAAATATCGAGCAGATTTCCGTATCTCTCAATATTGCGCAATCAATATGATTTGCTCCTAATCCCTATCATGTGTTTAATTTATAGCTTTTCTTGTATTTTTGTTTTTCTGTTTTTCCTTTTCTCTTTCTTTTCGATAGATATGCTCGTTCTCCATATCATCCCTCCTTTGATGCCTCGCACGGAAAGTAGCGAGCGATTGTATGTTAAAACTAATTCGTTGAAAAAAGTATTCGATGAATTATGCAGAATTACTTATAATAAAAAATTAGTTATAATCAGATGAAGGAATTTCACAGTTTAGCAGATTTGTTCTTTTTATATAAAAAAACCTTCTTATAACACGAAGGAAAGCACGTTCATAAAAAAACAAATGGTTTAGTCTAACAGTATTTTTGATAATATAACAAAGCATAATTTTAAATATATGTTAATTATTCGAATTTTCCATATCCAGCTCGATTTCTATTATCTGTTGTTATCTATAGGTGTCGTCGATATGTGTTGTATCGTCGTTCACGTACTGTGTCTTAGGTATTATGATTTCCGGTTAGATACTCTTGTTTCTTGATTAAGGGATGCGCAACGATGCTTCAATGAGGTATCTGAATCTGATCTTGTAATAAATTATAACGCAAATGATTCGTTACATTTTCAAGCAAAAATGTATACGAATGTTAATACTTGCAAAAATGCCTCACTGAAGGACGCAGCTGTATTCGATATTGAGATTAAACGATATGTTTAAACACGTTTTTTCTTTACGAAAAATACGAGATATATCAGGGCACACCATTATCATGTATTGTTTCTTTAGCCTGGTACGATTATGGACTAACACAATACCAGACCGAGCGGCAAGACACAGAATTGGAACGTGTATTCGACGAACGCCACCAAAGTGTTTCCCAAGGAATTGAGATTGCCACAGAGCATCTTGGCCCGAAAGTTATTAAAGAGCCTGAGACTGAGTGGCAAAAATCTGTCAAGAGCAAGAAAAATGAAGATTATTACAACAAGTTGATGAATCTCGAAGAGGAACAAGTGCTCAAAGAGACCCGATTAAGGGAAACCTCGCATCAATTTGCTATTCCCGGTGACAAGATCGTTGCACATTCCTTAGCAAAGGGAATGGCCCAAAAGTATGAAGAAAATTTGTAAGTATATATAACGAATATTTGATAATATTACTAAAGCATATAAATATTTTACTAAACTTTTAAAAATTTGGTGATAATTAAATAATTGCTAATTACTAATTTCTCGTTACTCGTTAGAGAGGAACCACCTCAACAAGAATCGGTACAACCACCTCCAAAATATGTGAAAAAACCATTTGTTACCGAAGTGGATATAGATACAGAACGTGTTAAAGCCACAGGAAAATATCCTCCGGAACCGTCTGAATCCACAGTTCATGGTCGCGAAGTTCATGTTGCTAAACAAAAACAGACGCAAAAGGAAGTCAAGGGCGACGTAGAAATAACGAGAAAAATTACAGCAACAGAGACTACAGAAGTAGAACATAAAGCGAAGACGCAAGAACGCATGGTGGAAGGTCAAGTTAAACCTGCCAAACCGCCCATTTTCACAAAGAAAATTCAACCCTGTAGAGCATTTGAGCAAGAACAGGCCAAATTTGAGGTTGAATTCGATGGCGATCCACTACCGACTATCAAATGGTACCGTGAAGATTTTCCTATACAAAACTCAGCCGATCTTCAAATTTATACCTTCAGTACCAAATCGGTGTTAATTATCAGACAAGTGTTTATGGAAGACTCTGGTGTCTTTTCCGTCATCGCTGAGAATAGAGGAGGAAAAGCTAAATGTAGTGCCAATTTAGTTGTAGAAGAACGCAGAAGGCAGCCTGGACGAGGTGGCGCGGTACCACCCAGTTTCTTATCCACGATTCAATCTGCTTCTGTTGCTACCGGACAACTTGCCAGATTCGATGCCAAAATTACCGGCACTAAACCTCTGGATGTTTATTGGCTCAAGGTAAAATAAGTGTACACACACAAACACATGCGCGCGCGCGCGCGTAAGCTATAAAATTGCCGGTTCGATTGAATAATTATTTTATACACATAGTAAGAAATTTAAATTGATTAAGTATCGGTCCACAATAAGGATTTTAAGCCCTAAGCAGTAAGAAATAGATCGTAGTCGAATATGAAGAGAATAATTGATTGTAATTGGTCAATATCTTACGGCGTAAGGCTTAAAGTCCTTGTGGACCGACACTAACATTTGTTTTTGAATGTCTTTTTTTATTATAGAACGGTAAAAAGATAACAGCGGATATCCGTTATAAAGCTTTGGAAGAAGACAATATTTATACACTTCTGATTCTGGAGACAGTACCAGAGGACATTGGGAAATATGAATGTGTTGCGATTAACAGTGCCGGAGAAGCGCGTTGCGAAGCGGAATGTACTATTCGCGGACCTCAATCTCCAACAAAGATCGCAAAACCTACAACGCCAACAGCAGAAAAAGCACCAACTGTTCTAGAACCATTAAGAGATCAAACCATTAAAGAAGGAACTTCTGTTGCTTTTGCCTGCAGAATCACAGGGAAACCTATTCCTACTATACAATGGAAAAAAGCTGATAAGGTATAATATACGATATAGCTATAATAATAATTTTGATATTAATTTCACTCGCGAATGCTTATCGCGTTTTTTGCATAATAGGTAATCAAACCGTCCAAGTACTTTCAAATGCAAAAAGAAGGCGATTTCTGTACTCTGAGGATTTCTGAAGCCTTTCCCGAAGATGAAGGTGTTTATAAATGTATCGCTAAAAACCCCGCTGGTGAAATAATGACGTCTGCCAATCTTAGAGTTCTTGGTAAGACAAAAAGAAAAATAAATTCGGATTCAATCTTTTTAAATTGCTTTTTATTAACGTACTATATAAAATTAACAATTTTTCTTCACTTTCAATTAGCGCCCGACACAGCTGATATTCTGCCAAAATTGACACCTTTGAAGGATCAGATAGTGATAGAAGGACAACCAGCTCAATTTAAGACTCAAGTGAGTCCGGCAAAGCCTAAGCCAACGATTCAGTGGTATCGAGAGGGTGCCTTGATTCCACAATCGCCAGACTTTCAGGTAGATATCTCGCTACTGTTCTCTCGTAAAACATCGAAAGAGATTTTACGTTTCGACTTAGGACCATGATACTCAGGAAGACATGGCGTATCATTTTCAGATGATTCATGAAGGCAACAATGCGGTGCTACTAATAGCAACTACCTACGAGGAGGATACTGGCACCTTTACTTGCCGCGCTACAACCTCAGCCGGTACTGTAGAAACATCCGCCAAACTCATCGTCAAAAGTAAGAACTGAATCAAAGATATAGAATCAATTGCTAACACGACACATGCGCGATTGTTCTTATATTATACATCTCCAAGAATTGCCGGAGACGAACGTGTATTCGAGACAGAAGCATGACAAATTGATTAACATTAACAAGTTAATAATATTAGTGAATTAATATAAGTCTATTTTAATCTTGGAAAAGTTTATATTCTAACTCTTTTACTCTGTTATCTGTACATCTTGTACATTGATTAAATTTCAATTATTATTCAATTGCAACTCTTTATCTTTTGATATTCTGCATAAGCGATAATATCTCACAGGAATTATAAATTATTATACACAGTTTTTGGGATTTCGGAACAATTAGTTGCTTTACAATGGCACATGATACAACAGAATGAATATAAAATAAATGTTGATGTAGAGTGAAACTTAAAAACTCGTTGAACTTAAGAATTTTTCCAATATACAATTGATCGTTGCTAATGTATATACTAATTTTCGTCTAACGTATTCATTGCGACTAACTTCTTGACATCGTCTCAAGTACAATTGTCTTCGCGCAGCGCGATTTGCCGTAAATATCCGTAGAAATACTCGTATTTTTTCTTTTGTGCTTTATTGTTGCCTTCTTGAAAGAACGTAACCGACTTATCTTGCTATATTTTTCAACTTCCATCTCAAACAGATCCTCTCTAATTAAAAATCGTACGCGTCCGGGGAGTTTGTACTAACTCATCATATTTTGAGAATAGCTGAGCGAGTGAAACGAGGAGTAATTAATAACAATAGGTTATTGAGAGGCTGCATTACAAAACTACAAACTTCGCGCGAAAAAAATATTTTAAGACATATATATCATTTAAGTATGCGAAAGTCGCGAAGGTGCTGTTAAAATTGAGATGCTGTAACAACAAAATTAAAATAAAACTCAAAACTTTCGTTGTAATGTAATAGGTCGGAACAAGCGCGAGCATTTTTTTAAATTAGCGTAGGCGAATGATAAAGCGAAATGTCTGTACCGTTAATATTTTGAGTTTTGAATTGCATCTCATAACAAAAATGTGATGTTCGCAGCCTTTTCACAAAGAATTAATATTATGAACTTTGTAAATAGGTAATAGAATCAAAAATGAAACTTTGCGCGATATTACAGTCAATATGGATAAAAGAAGAAAGAAAAATATTGATGTGCGTCTGCGTTGAATACGTAACTCGTTTACTCGTTCACTGTATAGTCTTGATATTTATTATAAAAAGTATATCGTAAAAAAAAAATATATATATATATATTTATTTATTTATATACATATATTACACAATTTTCTCAATATATATGTACGCCTATACTTTACAATTATAAATATATATATATATATATATATATATATATATATTCATTTATTAAGAATTTACAAATGATACACATATACGCACATAAAAATATCATCTAACATCCTACTAATCAATTATTTATTATTGTACAATGGAAATCGCAATAAAACCGAATGTTCTAAATACGTCCAAGTCTCGTTTGTTGCCGTTTGTTGCCGTTTTGATAACCATCGTTTCAATTATAGATATGTCGTTAATCTTTATCGTACAAACAATTTTTATGATCCCCTATAGGAGAATCTTTGAAGCGATGATTCTAATCCAACATGTTAAATTTATATAATTATTCATGAAATACATTTTTACAAATTTCGCGCTATGCGTAAATCATCTATGTAAATTATTACATTCAATTGCTTTTGTAATAAAGGAGCATGATAAAGGAAAAAATACCTATTGTTGGAGGAAGGAAGGCTTTTGTAACGAAGAATGTTCTTTCGTTCGGACTCTGACAAATAGATGTGCGAGAGAAAAAATACATAACACGGCGTATTTAACATTTAAAGAGACAGATAGTTATAGGAACAGTAATATATTAAGTAATATATCAAAGGAAATATCATAATAGGAACAAAAATATTTAATTTTTCTCATTTTTCCTTGATCAAATATTGTCGATCAATTATCGAAACACATAATTGAGGTTTGATTGACACACACACACACACACACACACACTCAAGAATTTATATATATAATATATTTACATCAGCCTTTTCTGTCGTGCAAAACATGTTCCAAGCGAAAATCAGTCTTGCAGTGTCGTGTGCACACTGAGCTAGGCCCTTTTCTTAGGCTATTTTTAAGCGCGTGATGTGTGTATTACATTACGCATAGCGGCTATAATTGGCCGCTGGTTCAGAATTCTGCAGATTCGTCGACCACGATGGTTTAGGTCATTCGCGTACTTATGAAAGCTATTTAAAAAGCTATTTAAAAATATTATATAATCTATTATTATTCAACTTTATATTTTAAATGTTTTTAGTTTTTACTATTACTTAATCAAATAAAAAATGTGTAAGTTTGTATACATTTCAAAATGCATCATGTGCATGCACATATACTTGCAGGATCTTTAAACTAATTATTTGAGCGTATTATATATATCATTAAAATTTTATTCTTGGTCACAAACTTACATCACATATATGTATATATATATATATATATATACATATATACACACATATATGATGTAAGTTTGTAACCAAGAACAAAATTTTAATGATATATATAATATATATATATATATATATATATATATATATTATGATATATATATATATATAAAATTTTTAAATTTGACATAAATAATTTTGAATATTCGTCCCTTGTAACTAGCGCTAAATCTTATTAGATATCTGTTCAGATATCGAGATAAATAGAAATTTCATATATCAAATCGAAAAAATATATCTCAAAAAACTTCAATTTCCAATTTAACTATCTTGAAATTATTTTGGAAATGAAGAGAAATTCCTTAAAACACACGCGGTCTATTTTTCGTTCTGAACATGATTAAAAAAAAAAGAATATATATATGTATACCTATATACACATACATAATTTTTTTTATAAATTGTAAACGACCTTGAAGATGGAACAATAATACTTCCCAAGAGAACAAATGAACACGCTGATTCATCAAGGAGATATTCTTTTCTGTGGTCCATATTTATCCCACCTTTGATTCCAAATCACCATCGCTTGATGCTTCGTCAGCACAGTAATTTCGGAGGAAGCTGGCCGAGGTAGTTGACTATTTTGGTTTCGTCTCGAGCCAGCTGCTAGTGATTCAGTCGTGCCAGGAATAATACGAAGAAGAGCGTGTCAGCGTACTCCACAAAATGAGTTAAAATTATTTTTAGTAAATCAGCAACTTGGACTTCAAGATATATTGCAAGATAGGCTACGTTGCAATTGTCTAATGCAATAGACCATTTATAATGTATAAACATTATCACAATCATTTTTATTGTTAATGTAATCAAAATATTTTATGAAAAAATGTGAGTCAGTAATAGACTAAATTCTTCAAGTACTTTTTATAATTTTGTTTCACTCTACTCAATGAGTCAACATAAATATTAAGCTTGAGCGAAAAAAAATCGTTTGTTATTTATTTGAAGATTAGACAAATAACAATCTATTGTTTCTTTGTATTCTTTCGATTTATCCGTAATTAGAACAAAAAATAAAATATTACAATTAAAAATACAGTCCATCGATTGACAGTATGACATTATTACTTACATTAATTTATTTGTAAAAGATATTTATATAAAAGTTACTTTTTTTTTAATTAATATTAATTTATATGACAATAAAAAAAGTCGATGTACAATATACTATATAAACACACGTGTGTATATGTATATATATATTTAGTCATAAAACTTATAGATCAAGATAGAGAAGTAAAAGCGAATACGTATCTGCGTTTGTCTCTGTCTTTATTTTTAATTCTGTATATAATCATATTGATCATTATCTTACATAATTTATGTAATAAACTATGTTATCGTGCAGAAAATAGTAGATCTCTATCCTTGTATTCACTCACTCATCTACATTTGTATTTATTTCCATATATAATTTCAATATTCAACTGTGAATAGATAAGTTTTAACGTTCCGATGAAGCGTGACAGCTTTTTCAATAATCTCTGTTACATCATTATGTCAATAATTAAATAATAACTGCACTTTACACATACATTTTGACTAAACGACTAAGAAAAAAATCAATGCATGAGCACGAAAGCACTTTATATATTTGGGAAACACAATTAAAATAAAGATTATGTAAAAATTAATATTTTTGAGTGTATTGAGATATTTACTTAAAACAGATATATGTATATACATTGTTGAACAATTCACTCTTCATACGTTATACACGAATATTTTAAATAAATCACTTTACGACGGCAAAATGGATCATGTGTCCAGTTTGAATATAACGGCATAGCAATCACATAAAAGAAAAAAACTTCTATTGAAATAATGAACGTTAGAAATAAACGTTAAAACTTGTCAACCGAGAAGGTCTCTTTTTCTTCAAATCTTATTTTTTATTCACTTCACTGACTAATGCAATAACTGCAACATCATTATCGTAAGAATAAGCGCGACAGCGATTTTGTCGGGTTTTCTTTCATTCCTTCGTCTTCGACTTTCAACTGATTACTATTACGACTAGATGTAGCATGAAGTAGGGACGTGTCTTATACGTCAAAGATCCCCACCGAGTTACTCTGCGGGAGACTACTTGAGGGAAGCTCACAAGCAACGCAAACCGAAGCTCTACAAGCAAACGCCTCGGTTCGCGCGATTATATTTAATAAATTTTGTTATTATTCATCATCCGAGATCTTTCTTTAATATGTCCTTGAAACATGTAATATATAATATATATTAGAGAAAATTATGTCGCGATATTATTATATTATTGGAATAGCAATGTAATTTTTTCTTGCATTTTTTCGCAAAAGAAACTCCCACGCAGTCGAGACGCAGATGACAAGCTCTTTAGACATTCAGACTATTTAAAAATAACATAACATAAACGATGTAGATTCACACGTTTTACGAAACAACTGTAATGTTTGACTGACTTGTTAATAAACTTTATTTTCTAATTATTCGTTAAGCGACGTATATACAAATTTATATATATGTACATAAATATATAAGTATGTGTATGTGTGTTACATTTTAATATTCTTTGTTAACAAAATTTGGTTAAAAATTTCATGCATTTCCATAATTGTCTGTGAGTAATTAATTGCTACAATTGTCACAAAATTATGAACGTTTTTATTATTATTGTAATATCATGAAAAGATAGATGTTCGTTAAATATAATCTTTCACAAATTACATATTGCATATTAAATATTAATAACTCAAATAATCCACTCTTTCAAGGTTGGTTATTTGGCAAAATGCCTTCATCTTTACCATGAGAAGTTAATTCGGTTAAAATTCATTCCTTGTTAATCGGTGATTACAAAATAAATTTACATACAATTGTAAAACATTTATTTAATAAATTTTATAATGTTATGATTGATAAATTGTTGTGAGTTTATAAATACATAAATTGTTCTTTAATTTAATTTAATAGCATGTATCGTATAATGTGAATGTACAAAATTTTCTTCTAATTCAATGTATATTAGTGTAAAACAAATAGTCGAAAACGTTAAAATCTACTTAAAATAATTTTCCATAACAATTTTCCACTTGCAGAGAGAAAAGAAGCCTATTACGCGGTTCCCGCGGAAACAGGTGCCAGTGAAGTAGATACGAAACTTGATCAAGATTTGAAGGAAGATATAATACTGAGATCTTTAGCTTTCAACGAAAATGGTTTACCGCATGAAGTACAACTTCAATCCGGCGATGAATCGCTGCCTTGGCGAAAAGGATACGTTCAGCCTCGACTTCAAACTTGCGATTCACTTCCATGGCGGAAACTACGAACAAAATCAAGAGATTCTTCATTGGAAAAACTTCGAGCTTTCGAAAGTCAAATAAAACCATGGACTGAAGAAGTAATTTTGAAGAAAACTCCTAAGATTATTAGAGATGTAATGACAGAAAAGTTAGAAGAAGTTGAGTTAAAGCCGACGAAAATTGAAAAAAAAGATATACGTAGACCTAGTATAGAAATTCAGTTGAAATCAGTGCCTAAAGAGAAAACAAAGATCATAACAAAAGAATATGATAGCGATGATACTACTCTGTTAAAAACGTCGCGTCGTTTAGATGAAACCATATCGAAAGAAGAGAAGCACGAGAAACCAAGATCAGAGAAGCAAATTATTTTAAAGAAAATGAAACCAAAGACAAAAATAACTTCCGAATTAGATATAGAAAAAATAAATTTTCTCGAACAGGAGGATACTTCTTTGCTTACAATTTCAAAGGACGAAGAAATGAAAAAGTCAAGAAAAGAGACGCCTTTCGCAGAAAAGGTAGAACGACCTAAGCCTTGGACGGAGGAAAAAATTGCTTTGAAAAAAGCAAAACCAGAAAGAAAAGAGATATCTAAGGAAACTCTCGAAACCGTTTCATTGAAACCTTCGCAAATAGTAAAGAAAGATCTCGTGAAATCAACTTTAGATAAAGCAGATCTAAAACCAATTTTAAAAGAAGAAGTTAAAGTAATTTCAATAGAAGAAGTTACACAGCTCGACGTTACTACAGATAAAAAAAAAAGAAAAGCAAGCAAAGACGCAGATAAAACAGTCATAGATAAAGCAGATGAAGCAAAACCATGGATAGAAGAAAAAGTTATTTTGAGAAAATCTAAACCTATTCAAAAAGAAATTGAAAAAGAGATGTTGGAAACAGTAGAATTAAAATCATCTAAGTTCATTAAACCAGTACCTCAAAAACCAAATGTGGAAAAAATAGATTTAAAACCTGTCACGAAAGAAAAGGCAAATATTAAAGAAATCGTTAAAAGTGCTGAATATGTTGAACAGGAAGATACTACATTACTTCAAGCTTCAACTGAAATATACGATGATATTAAGTTAAAACCGAGTACAAGTGAAAAGCTAATACGAGGAAAAAAACATGACGTTGATGTGATTACAACATACGAAGACGAAGATACTACTTGGCTTAAAATTATGTCAGAGCGTGATACGAACATTTATAAAAAGAAGCAAGAAAAAATACCACAAGAAAAGCCAAAGTCAAAGACATGGATGGAAGAAAAAATAATATTAAAAAGAACAAAACCGGAACTAAAAGAAGTACAAAAAGAAACTCTTGAGGAAATATCATTAAAGCCAACATCAAGGATGGATAAAGTAACATTGAAGAAAGAATTAAAAGAAGTAGATTTAAAACATGTTAAAATAAAAAGTACAGACTTCATTGATGACAAAACGCAAGAAAATGTACCATATCACGAAGAAGAAGATAAAATTATTATCGAAATAACCAAAGACGAGTTTACTAGCAAAGTGAGCAATAAAAATAAGTTTGCTGAAAGAATACCATACGCCGAAGAAGAAAATACTACGATTCTCAGTATCGATAAAACTGATGATATAATCGAGAAGTCTAAAAAAGAAGAAATACCAGTCTTATGGGATAGAGGTAAAAAGGCAAAAGAAAAAAGAGAAGTTGAAGAAATAAAATCATTTCAAGTAATGAAACCTAAAACTAAACCGGAAGAGGATAATCTTATGGAAATTTCAGAAGTTCCGTGGCGCCGTAAACCAAAATCTTTAGTTCAAAAGACGACTTCAGAAATTGAAGCTGATAAAGCAAAATCTGATATGAACGAAGTATCCGAAGTAGCATGGCGAAAACCTGAAAAAACTAAAATAATAAAACCTGTTAAAGAAGAACCTCAGCTTGAAGATTTCACATCTGTTGTGTTAAAACCGGCAAAATGGCACGATAAACCACAAGAGCAAACACCGATAGAAAAAATTGTACTTAAACCAGCAAAACAATTACCCAAAGAGAAAGAAGAATCAGAAAACATCATACTTAAACCAATAACAACACAGACATTAAAATCAGAAGCTACATCTGAAAAAATCGACAAAATTATTTACGAAGACGTATCTACCGAAAAAATGGACATACCATGGAGACGTGAAAAGAAATCAACACAAATTGAACAGAAACTAGAATTAAAAACAAGTGAAGAGCAGCTTCATGAAACACAACCTAAAGTAGTTACATTTAAATCTGTAAAAAAGCTTCCAAAAGAAGAAGAATCAAAGGAGGAAATTACTTTGAAACCAGTGAAGAAGGAAAAAGTTGAAGAGAAACCGGAGGAGATCCAATTGAAACCAGTGAGAAAGATACAGAAACCTGAAGAGCCGAAACCCGAGCAGGTTGTATTAAAACCTACTAGAAAGCTGCCAAAAGAAGAAGAATCAAAGAAGGAAATTACTTTGAAACCAGTAAAGAAGGAAAAAGTTGAAGAGAAATCGGAGGAGGTCCAATTGAAACCAGTGAAAAAGATGCAGAAACCTGAAGAGCCGCAATCCGAACAGGTTGTATTAAAACCCGTTAAAAAACTTCTTAAGGAAGAAAAGTCAAAGGATGAAATCACTTTGAAGCCAGTGGAAAAGGAAAAAATTGAAGAAAAACCGGAGGAGGTCCAATTGAAACCAGTGAGAAAGATACAGAAACCTGAAGAGCCGCAACCCGAGCAGGTTGTATTAAAACCCGTTAGAAAGCTTCCTAAGGAAGAAGAGTCAAAGGAAGAAATCACTTTGAAACCAGTGGAAAAGGAAAAAGTTGAAGAGAAACCGGAAGAAATCCAATTGAAACCAGTGAGAAAGATGCAGAAACCTGAAGAGCCGCAATCCGAACAGGTTGTATTAAAACCCGTTAGAAAACTTCCTAAGGAAGAAGAGTCAAAGGAAGAAATTACTTTGAAACCAGTGGAAAAGAAAAAAGTTGAAGAGAAACCGGAGGAGGTCCAATTGAAACCAATGAGTAAGATGCAGAAACCTGAAGAGCCGCAACCCGAGCAGGTTATATTAAAACCCGTTAGAAAGTTTCCTAAGGAAGAAAAGTCAAAGGAAGAAATTACTTTGAAACCAGTGGAAAAGGAAAAAGTTGAAGAGAAACCGGAGAAGGTCCAATTGAAACCAGTGAGAAAGATACAGAAATCTGAAGAGCCAAAACCTGAGGAGGTCGTATTAAAACCTGTTAGAAAGCTTCCTAAGGAAGAACAATCAAAGAAAGAAATCACTTTAACACCAGTAGAAAAGGAAGAAGTAAAATTACAACCAGTATCTAAAATAGTAACAAAAACAATAGACAATAAACTTATTGAGAAGAAATCAATAGAGGCAACAGAAACTCCGTGGCGGCGTAAACGAACAAAAAAAGTTGTTGATTTTAAAGAGGAAGTTACAATAGTGCCTATTGATCAAGAAGAATCTGTTACAGACATTTGCGAGGAAAAAGAGACGATGATAATTACAACTGAAGATACTCAGGATCTGATTGAAAGAAAAATGGAACCTATACATAAAGAAGATAAGATAACTGACGAAGTAATTACAACAAGTGAAGTTTCATGGAGGAAGAAAAAGCAAGTACGTTCAAAGATAGAAGAAGAGAAAGAAACTGTTATTTTAAAACCCACTGAAAAATTGAAAGAATTAGAGCCAAAAACCATACAACCCAAAGAACATATATTAACTCTTGTAGAAGATAAGAAAAAATTACCTAAAGAAGTTGAAATAAAACTAGTAGATAAAGAAAAATTAACGAAGAAAGATAAAGTTATCGAAACAAAACCAGTTAAGTTTACAGAGCAAATTACAGAAATTTCGGAAGAAAAAGATAAAGTCATTGTTGAATCAGTCACAACAAAATCTAAGGTAAAAGAAAAAATGCCTGAAGAAATCACTTCTAGTATTACTGAAAAAGAAGTAGAGGATGTCAAATTACAAATTAAGGAAGACATCACGCAAATAGAAGATCGTAAAAGAAAACGCAGACAACGTACTCAGGTCGACATATCGATTACAGATAAAGACAAAACTATTGCTCCAAGGTTTATTCAAAAATTACAACCTGTTATTGCTGAGTTGAAAAAACCTGCCAAATTTACATGTACTGTCATAGGAAATCCGTTCCCTGAAATTTCTTGGTATAAAAATGAACAAGAACTCCATGCGAGCGAAAATTATACTATGACTATATTTGAGACAACAGTAACCTTAGAAATCACAACAATTAAAGAAGAAGATGCTGGAATGTATTCTTGTAGAGCATCCAATCCGGCTGGCGTGGCAACATCCACTGTCAATCTTGTGATATTTGGTAATAATGTTATCTATATATGAATTATTTAATTTTTATGTTAATTGAGATTTATTTAAACATTTACTCAATCGTTTTATATTTTTTATTTGTTCTATTGATCTTATAAATTTGTGTAGAATCATAAAATATAAGAATATTACGACATAACGCTTATAATTTTGTTATAAAATTAGTAAATACTAGACCACATTCTTTATTACAAATACTTAAATAAATGTCTTTAATATTTATATGTGTAGTAATTTATGTATTTATATATTAATAACTTAATATAAAAAGTTATATTTACAATATATATACATCTAAATTAACAATGGATTTACGAAATAGCAAGCATGAAGTAGATGTATGCGCATACCTTAATTATAAAGGTTATCTCATATTTCCAAGTAATTATAAATATTATATATGTTACACGATATATTTATTTTTTAGAAAAAGAAGAGGAAGGCATAGCACCACATTTCTCAACACCGATTAAACCATTAATGATTGAAGAACACGCACCTGCTTTATTAGAATGCGTTGTAACCGGTACCCCAATACCTGAAGTGAAATGGTATCGCGGTGAGCAGGAAATGAAACCTAATGAAAGAACCGAGATGATTTTTAACCCAACAACTGGAGAAGCTAAGTTGAAAATTTTAGAACCAATACCCGAAGACGAAACAATTTATCGCGTTCGTGCTATAAATAAATACGGGCGCGCTGAATGTAGAGCTAATTTAGTAATAAGTAACATCATTAAAGTGAGCAAACCAATTACTCTCAGAGCACCGCGAATTACACGACCTTTGCCCGCCTTAATAACTGAACGCGGAAAGCCTCTGAAGCTTCTAGCTAATTTTGACGGCACACCGAAACTGGAAGTCAAATGGTTCCGCAATGGTATTGAAATTACACCAACTGACAAACATAAGATAAATATCTACAAGAGTACAGCCGAATTAAATATAACAGAAACAACAACTAAGGATAGCGGCAAATATGAGATAAGAGTTCAGAATGAAGCCGGCGAAGCGAGAAGTTCGAGTTCTGTTACCGTCAAAGAACGCAAAGACACTACGAGCGAAGTGAAAGCACCAATGTTTGTGGAACCCATTCAGCCTCAATTTGTTGCAGAAGGAGAAGTAGTTATCATGGAAACACGAGTGGAATCATATCCAGCGGCATCTTTTCAATGGTTTCATGAAAGCAAACCTCTTGAGGTACTTTTCAATTTTTATGCTTGTTTGATTATAAAATAAAATTTTAATTTTTACACAGAATAATATATTATTTAAAATTTCGTTCAAAATTAATAAAAAATATAATTTGTGTGTTACAGTCAACACCGCAAATAAGAATCGTGACTCAAGAAAATCGATCAATCTTAATGATAAAAGAAATCCCATTAGAACTGGCTGGTAATTACACATGTCGTGCTGAGAACGTCGGTGGCTCGGTCACTTGTACGGCCACCGTTAACTTGACGAAAACAACCTGGGAAGAAGCAATTGAATTAGTTTCACCGACATTCGTTAAGAGACTGTCACCCGTAAAAGTTATGGACGGCGAAAGTGTTAATTTAACCTGCGTCGTAGAAGGGAAACCAACGCCCAGAGTAGAGTGGTACCACAACGACATGCCGATTAAAGAAGGCAAAGAAATTACAATTGTTCAGGACATGGAAGGTGTCTGTAGCCTAGCTATTACTGAAGTATTTCCGGAAGATGCTGGAGAATATACTTGTCGTGCTGTAAATTCTGTTGGCGAGACTGTCTGCACGTCATCGCTCATTGTTGAAGGTATATTATTTTACGCAAATAGCTATAAAGTTGTCTGTTTTGCAAAATTTATTTTTAGCGTACGAGTACGTGCCTGACTCGGAAATTGCATCGTCGATAGTTGCGACATCCCTTACTACAGGACAAAGCGGATCGGAAGAAGATCTTCTATCTCCAAAAGTAAGTGCAAGATCTAACAATATATCTAACAATAGAATTGTGCTTTAGTTGGTACAATGTTAGATATTGAAATTATTATTTTCACTCTAGGAAACTCCTATCTTCGACATTGATGTAGAAGAAATCGTACCAGAGATAATTAAGAAGCTTCCTCAGTTAGTTTCTTCCAAAGATGGGGAATTAACTAGGTATGTTTAAAATACATTTGATGAATGATAATTGTATCCAATATGAATTAATATGCACATACATATCTATCTATGTATAATGAGTTCATGCGTGTTCACTATCATCTCTTCCTATATAGATTGGAAGTAAAAGTAAAAGGTAAACCGAAACCGAAAGGAAAATGGTATAAACAGGGTGTTGAAATAGTTTCATCACAAGAATTTCAAATTGAAGAATTTGAAGACGGTACATCAGTATTAACGATCGCTGAAACTTTCCCCGATGACACTGGTGAGATTACATTTGAAGCTCACAATCCGCTCGGTGTATCAACTACGACGGCGTATTTATCAGTAGAAGGTAATACCTCCCTGTCTACAGGTCCTAAAGGTTTCGCTAATTTGGTTAAGTTAAATTCTTTTCAGCTGCGGTCTTCAATCGGAGAAGCATCGAAGTCTTATAGCATCCCAGTAAAAATCCAATTATTATCCTGCATTCCTTACATCAACTACATCAAACACTCGCAACATCCTCGACTTATACTGTCTTTCGTCTTATTTTTGACATATTTCAAGCAAATTCATAAATCTTTTTAGTCTCAGCCAAATTTTCTGCTAATAATACCGGAGAGATTCGCTGTACAGTCGTTATAGTCGTTATATGTTTCTTATATTCGTTTTATATTCGATTAGGTATACTCGGAACAAAAGAGTACAGAAAACCAGAGTGGGTCACACAGATGGAAGAAATGCAAGAGGCTTTAAGAGGTAAGACTTGAATTTATCATCTGAAAATGTTCGATTGCATGCCGAGTGATGTGGAGTACAGTTTCTCGAACGACAGTCTGACTATGCATTAAGAAACAAGAGAATTCTCAAAAGGATAATTATCCAATTGTGACCAGTCCTTGAAAAAGCAAGGACCTTGATGAACATTGGGAATAATATCAGATTATTTATTGACGAGAAATTGACGTCTGAAATTCTTTTAGCAACTATACATATAGCGGATAATCAAAAACAATTACAGGAATTTTTGCTATTTGAAAATCAATACAGCGGAAATTTTGGATTAGCAAGCAATATATTCATATCTTATAATAAATATTACATTGAAGATAAAAGAGGCACAATGTTAGGTAGAATTTACTTTAAAACTAACAATAAAGATGTATCATTTAAAAGTAACTCTGCTTGATTTTATTCCTACGTTTTTGTCTAATTAGACTACTGACAACACGAAATTAATACAAGTAATCTTGGTGTCAAACTCAAAATTTAATGTAAGAATTCAAGGTAAAAATTCAATATGATACATTTTGTTATTATGTGAGTTTTTCATAATCACAGCTTTATAATATTTCAGCTACTCAAGCTATCCCACGATTCATCCAAGAAATAACAGACATTTACACAAAAGAAGGAGATGTCGCTTTGTTTGAATGTATTTATTCTGGTAATCCAAAACCAGGTAATCATTACACGTACATCGTACAAATATTGTAAAATTTAGTTGTAAAAGTTATTTTAATTAATTATTTCTTCAATTTAGACATTGTTTGGTATAAGAATGATAAACTTATAATGAATACGGAGAATATAAAAATACGCATATTTGATGAAGAAAGTAGGACTACTCTAACAATTAAGCAAACTACTAAAGAAGACGATGCCACGTATGTTTGTAAAGCTACCAACGAAATTGGTATGCTGATAACGAAAGCCAAATTACATATCGATACCAGCGAATCACAACCAACGCTGGACGACAAAGAGGAAGAGAAGCCAAAAAAACAAGAAGAGAAACCATACAAAAAAAAGAAAACCGAGCTAAAAAAAGCAAAAGAGATCAAAGAGAAAGTAAAAGCTGAACGTATTAAAATAGATAAAGAAGAAATCCATGAAGAGAAACTTATTCCGAGGGAGCAGATAGAAGAAAAGTCAGTAATCATTTTGTCTTATCTATCCAACATATGTATACATATATCCAATACGGCATATTCCATATTGGAATCTTTAATTTGTTTCATTCATAAATTATAATTTTTGTTTGTATTTTCAGGGGAATTGTCGATGTTAAAGAAACTCAACTATTAGAAACTACAGAATTCATAGATGATAAACTCGAGCAGGTATTATAAGACGTGCAATTTTTTAAGTATCTCGATTGTAACTATGTATCTTGCATAAACTTCTATTTTATTTTGCACATTTTAGGTTTCTAGAGCACGAAGAATAGTACCGATCCAAGAACCAATTGTGACCGAAGCAACAGCTTCCTTCAAGAAAATTGACGATCAAAAACTTCGAGAACACATACCAAAATTCGAAGAACATGCCAAACAAATTGTCGAAGAACGAGAAAGTGTCGTCGTATCAGAAATCATGAGTGAAGATATTGCTTCTGATTTTACTATCAAAACAAAACTTGATCACGCTCAAGTTACCTCGGAAACTTTACAAAAAGTTTCAGTCTCTGAAGCACATATAGAAAGTAGTGTGCAAGAAATGAAACGTATAGAGACAAAGCAGAAAAAGATGAAGAAAATAAAAGCGGAAAAAATTAAAGAAGATACTACTGTAAAGGAGATTGTGGAGCGACAGAAAGAAAATATAGCTCGGGAAGTCGACGAGATAATGGCGGTACTTGATGCAAAAGAATTTGGCCCAGGAGAATCTCCCCTTCGAGAACTCGCGACAATTGGCTACTTGGTTCGACAAGGAGTTTCCGTAAATGAGATCAACCAATGCCTTTACAGGACTGATGTCTTTCCTGCTTTAAAAACACCCGATGCTCAGAATGCTTTGGTTCAATTGGTGGAAAGAAAGGGCCACGGTCCTTTGATTACTCAAGTACTTACTGAAGAGACGACAACCGACGAGAGTTTCGTTGCAGCGACAGTCGGTTTTCGTGCTTTTATGAGAATGGTCGAACTTCAACATGCAACCGTAGAAGAAGTCATTACACATTTTGCTCCAGAAGATTTCAGGCCACGTGCTTGGGAAGTTACAGAAATTTCCGAGGTACAGATATGATACAAACATTATATAAATTTATATAAGTATTATTAGAGAAAGTGTTCCAAAAATTACAAATTCCTTTTATGTTTCTTTTCTTAGATTGAAACTGAGCAACATGCTACAGAAAGAGTAGATATCGTTCACAAAATGGAAGTTCATTTTATGGGTAAGTCAAGATTGCAAAATGTATGTGTGTGTGATTTCTCTATGTAGATATAACTCCAAGAATTATACATAACCAAGAATTCATATATAAGATTTGGATTTATTTGAAATTTCTCTCGATATTTTCGTTATATATATTGTTGTTTTTCATATAAAGAATGAATTAAAAAAAAAATAAGCATTTTTTGATTTTGCAGAGAGGAGAGATGATAGGAAAGCTACTCACATACAGGATATTCGAGAAATTAAAGGTTTGGAATAATAAATTTTGACGCATGAAATATCTGTATGTATGATTTATCAATTGGATAAATTGATTTTTCGCTTTAATAAATTATTGCTATTGCTATTATTGGATTATAATTTTATTGTTAGCAAACAATTAATATTAACATATACTTAACATAAGTACATAATATATATTTATAATTTTAATTGATTTAATTCAGGAGTCGTAAGAGTTTCCATTAATGGATCCTATATTTATAAAAAAGCAATATAAAATCTATTTTTATTGTTATGATTACTACAATAGTTTTGTAGAAATTAAAGTTTTAATCAATACTATATTTTTTATGATTCTTTTTTAAAACTTCATCTTCTTTATTTATATATAAAAATATTAACACATAAAAGATATACTGAAATAAACTGTAATGATCATTGTTTTATTATGCTTTCAGATGTATGAAGCTTGCTTGAATAATAACTATGCGATATTTTCCACTTATCTTTCCACCGCTATGCTTTCCACACGCGACAAAAAATCCTATTCCTTTATTTAATATAATATATAATACTGTCGCATTTTAATCAACTATTTTTCATATCAGCTTCGAAATTAATGCCTCGTGATTTGATGCTTATTCATACTGGATCAATTGTACCTTGAAATGTAAGTTCTATTTATTTATTGATAATTTGCTCAACACAAAATAGTATGAGATATAAAGATGTGGCATGATCACAACATTAATATTGTTACATTCTACTAAATTTACAATAAATTTCTACATACACACGTTTCTGGAAATCCAAACACTTATTATTTGTTTGTTTGTTTGTTTGTTTGTAACGTTCATATCATAATCAAGTACACGCTCTTTAGTCATGGAATAAAGTACGCAAGATATAAAGTATGAGTGTGTGCGTGCGTGTGTGCGTACGTGTGTGAATGCAAGAATAAAGACATCACGCAACACTCACGTCTGACACAAAATTCTCACATACTTTCCACAGAATACGAGGACACACGGCAGGCACACACAACATTGCGCAAACGCAAAGATAAAAAATCAAGGGATCAAATTGAAGAAACAACACAAGATAGGGAAGAGGGGGTTCAATCTATAAAAATCGAGGAGGTCGAGGAAGTCGAAAAAGAAAGAACGAAGGAAGAAATCGAAGAAGAGATTATTGAACTTGAACGGGATTCAAAGGGCAAATTAATTCGTAAGCAAAAGCAAGATGTGGAAAAACAGATAAACATAGAGGAGGAGAAAGAAATGATTGAAAAAATTAGAAAGACGTTAAAGCCAAAAAGATCAAACATAGGTAAAGACGAAATACAACTGGAGGAAATAGAAGAATTTAAAATAATGAAAGATCAATTACTGCCATCTATGATTTTGAATGTATCTAGCCAACGAAATCAAGTGATACCATTAGATCGTACAATTGAGCAAGCACCTGGCAAGCCCGAATTAGAGAAAGCTAAATACACATTAGACACTGTTATCGCTCTAACGGAACAAATGACATCAGTACACGAAAAAGAAATTGATCAAGTGGTGAGTATCAAGCCTATCGAACGTAAAGCGTCAATATCAGTCTCATCGATAGAACCATATTCTACCACGGAAACTACTGCACATATGTCTACGGATGAATTCTCTGGATCTTTCAAAGCTGCTTCTTATGAAGCTACACCTTCTATAATAATGAAGGAAAGCCTTCTCATCAGCGAAACGCTGACTCACGATGAAGGTGTATCAAACCTAACTTTGATCACACCAGAAACGAGTCGAAAAGCAGATATGCATGTCACTGTACAGGAAGCTACAACTATTAGAGAGACTATAGTTAATCAAAGTGAAATACCCACTGAAGATTTTGTAACACCCTTAAGTGTTAAGGCGGAAGATATTGTATTGCCGCAAATATCACTTTCAGTTTATGAAATACAGGAAGGTTTGACTGAAGATAAATTGGAACCTGCAAAAACAGTACTTTCAAAACCTCGAGTTAACGTAAATACAATAGAACCGCTAATGGTGGAAGAAATTCATTCCGAGGATAAGCCAGGAAAATATTATCCGGAGTTAATAGTACCTACTGAAGTCGCTACCGAAACGGTAATTTCGCAACGACAATGTGTTACCGAAGAGATGAACGCACCCGAAAAAGAAGGAGCTTACATTCCAGGTAGATTACCGCCGAGTCAAACGGCCCAAATCGGAATCTCTTATGGAAACGAAACGGCTATTATTCGTCATGATTTTGTGCAAGAACGTGAAGGCGAATATATTCCCGAGCGTAAAGCGGATTCTTTCGAAGCTACTCCAAATATTATCCTTTTGGAAGGAGTCACGATATCAACGATCGATACTCAACAAAAAGAAAACGATTTAACAATAGACAAAGATAAACAAGTTACAGCCGACTTAAATGTCATCGAAATTATGTCAGCTGTGACAATGGAGACAATAACTTCAGAAAAAGAACGAGACTATCATCCTGAAGAAAAGCCTTCTACTAAACTGGCCGTTACATCGATCTCTCCATTGGAGATTGGTTCTGTAACAGACACAATTGTTCAAGAGTCTGAAGGAACTTATAGTGCCGATCAAAAACCATTCGAAGTGCTGGCAGAAACATCGGTCAAACCGGAGAAACACATCTTAATATCTCAAGTTCAAACCGCAGATTATCCCGCGGATTTGAAGGATATGCTCAAATACGTCTCAGAGAGTGGTGTTGTATCTATTCAATTAACCGAAGCGAAAACTGTTCTTGAAACGCTCACTCATGATCGAGAGGCTAGCATGAAGGAAGATACTAAACCGGAAACTCATATGATCGAAACGATCTACGATGCTGTTAGAGGTATTGAAATATCGCAAACTACTCTTATAGAAAAAGAAGCTGAACTAAAAATCTTTGAAATGCCTGAATCACATCGCGGCAAAACGGTACCCACTCATCCAATGATTTCGCTTGAAGTCCAGGAAACTCAACCTGAAAATTATTTAGGCGATGTCACAAAAGAAGCGTTATCAACTGCTACAGCTAAAATCGAAGCAGTTAGTCTACAAGAAACGATTGTTGGTGAGACTATTGCAGCGGAAGGGGTAGCTCCGGTGAGGAAAGATAAGAGTCCCGAGACAATGACCGCCATAATCTCAATGAATCAGATTGAAAGCTTGCACACTACAATAATCGTAGCGAATGAGAAAGAAACTGAATATCTTGAGAAAACCGACGTTAAAAGTGCATTTGCAAATACTGAATATATGACGCAAGTGGCTCCGATATGCGAACAAATAAGAACAGAATCGCCGACCGAAGAATATCTAGCGGTAGATGAACCTGTGAGCGGAATAGCATATTCATCTCACATTCCTATAGAAACTATCAGTATCGTTATGCAAGAAATCGCAGAAAAAGAAGATGTTTATACAGCAAACATAAAACCCGAAGGAAAAGTAGCGAATATTGAACTCACGGAAACGAGGCCTGGTGCTAGCGTTCTAGAAATAATTCCACATGATCTTGAGAACATTTACACGCCAGATACTGGACCACAGTCTCACACGATTGAGTCGTCCATAACTGGTCACACCATCGCATCAAAGGCAGAAATCTTAGTAGAGCAAAGTGCTGGAAAGATAAGCAGTGATCTACCAAAATCAGGTAAAGCGATAGTACAACAAGAAGCTTTGGAAGAATTGATAGTAATCGAAACAAATGTCGGCGAAACGGAACGAATCAGGGATGAGGATGCGAGTCCTATTAAACAGAATGCTGCAGTTCAAGTATGCGCACGATCTGAAAATCTCACTGTCACTGAAGTAACAACCGTATTGAAGGAAGAAGAGCTGTCAATGGAAAAGATACCAGACGAACGAAGGGTTGTGTTAGACATAACTGAGGGTCATGAAATAGCCGAAACACAGGAGATGATTCTTGCAAGCAATATAAGTGCATTGAAAGAAGAAAAACCAAATCAAGAAAGTGCCAATCAGTTGCAAAGCGGGCTAGACGTCGTACAACAAATGGAAGTATCAGTATCTGAGAAAGAATCTCCTTTAGAAACAGATATAAAACCTGATTTTAAAAAGATTGGTGTTACTTTCCAAGAAGGAGAAAGTCTGACAGTTGAAATCACTCATCCTGAAGACAAAGAAGATATACTTGGTGAAAAACAGACACCGAAAACAGTTGAAGCTACAGTTGATGTAGTAACACAAAATATAGCGTCGACATTTGAGATTATTAGTGGTGTTGCGCTAACTGAATTATCTGCCAAATCTACTCAAGAAGCACGTCCTAAAGCGACATTACTACCACTTGAAATAGCCGTTGCTGAAGAAGTACAAACAAGAGAAACTGAAAAGCCTTTTCCTCATATGCCGGCGCCAGAGAAAAGAGCTAATTTTGAATTTGTAATGGGCGAAGTTCTTGTTGTGTCTTCTGTAACTGCGAGTGACAAAGAAAGCACGCTTGCAGAAATGGAAAAACCACAACCAAAATCTGTTACTTTCGATATTCCTACTCATATCGTGGCAGAAGCTGCTGAAGTAACCGCAATCGATAACATTAGCGAATTAACACGCGAAGAGACAATTTCTGCAATGGCTACGACCGAGCATATCACTCATCATAGTATTGTTACATCCGAAATGCCAACTGGTGATTCAGAACAACCTATGTTTGACTTCGTTAAACCAGACGAAAAGAGAGTTGATGTAGCGTTCGAAGAAGAGACAAGCATAACAGTGATTGAAACAATTGCATCTGACAAGGAGCGAGAATATTTGAAGAAACCGGATATTCCTGGTGAAAAAATCACTACCAGCTTTGACGCACATAAAATTGCTGAGCTCACTGAGGTTACACCAGCCATTTATCCAGGAAACCTCAATGTGAAAACACCAGTGAAAGCAGCAGCGAAAGAGGAACATTTGCCATTTGAGAGTATCGTTCAAAGCGAAACTATTATAACAGAAACAGAAACAGAATTTCAAGATAAACCAGCCAAATCCGACACGGCCCGAATATCCGTCGACGAGATTATCAGTGCCACTATGTCTACTGAGATTTTAGGCGAAAAGGAAGATATTCTCCGAATTCCCGAAAAACCTGCAGAGAAAAGAGCCGAAATTCAATTTGCTGGACACATTATCGCTGAGAAGAGTGAAGTCACTCTAGATTCCAGTACTGGAGAATTGACGGAGACAAAACCGACTTCTATTTCAGCTGTATTCTCAAGTATTCCACTAGAAGCTATAGTAGCAACGGAAACGCAGCCGACGGAAGCGGAGGCTATATTCGGGAAAGATAAAATACCATCCATGGCTCAAGCTGATCTTACCATGATAATGGAACAAAGTGTACAGGTATCTTCGATAATTTTGGAAGATAAAGAAACTGAGTATAAGCCAAAGGAAATACCGAAGGCAAAAACAGCCGAGAAAGCTCTAATCGAAACTCATGGTGTCGCCGAAACAACAATGCAAATTACTAATTTTAGTACTGGTAAAATTTCTATTAACGAAGCACCCCTGGTTGCTGTCGCAATTCCAGATCACATAGTTTTTAATCCATTAATAGAATCACAACCTGTTATTCAAGAAGGAGAAGAGCAATTTACGCCGACATTAATACCAAAAGATAAAGTTGTAAACATTGATATGGAAGAAGCCAAGGCAATCGCGAGTATAGCACATATAACACCAGCAGATAAAGAATCACCATATGTCATGGAGGAACAACCGCGTAAACACGCTGCTTCATTCAATATCGATGCTACTC